AAGGCCAAGCCCAAAGCTGGATCAAGTGTCGCTGCTGCATTTGCCGTTGCTGCAGGAAACCTGCCATCAGCCCAAGCTTTAGTCCCAAGGATTTTCAAAGCTGTTGTTTTGTCATTTGCACTGTTGTGTTACGATGGTACTGCGAATGAGGCTCCGTTTTTGGGATGAAATTCCCATGACAATCATGTGCCGGTTTTGCCAATGCAAGCTGATGAGGTGCCATTTACGAGCTTCAATGCGTTGACCAATGAGGTGACATGGCTGGGGGATACAAGGGCTGCTTCACAAGCCAGTCACTTTTGCCACCGGTGCAGGATCAAGAGATGGATCTGATTCTTGCAAGGTAGTGGGTGAACTGTCTGGTTCAAATGAATGCTACTTGTTGAAAGATAGCCTGTGGGCTTTGTCCATTGGAGATCAAGTTCGGCAGGGGAAAGCATTTGTTTGGTTGTCTCGTGATAGCCAGGATGCTTCAGAGGATGCTGAGCTTCCAAAACCACTTTTATTGAAGCCAGAAAACATTTCAAATTTGAGTGTCAACTGCCCTGAGACCTCTCGCTGCTATGCCAGTGAAGTTCGCGAGAATGTGCGTACGTTCCATTATTCAAAGAAAAAGTTGATGTTCTGCATGTATGCCTGCTGAGATTGCAGAGATTAGTGATAGTGAAGAGGTTCCGGCTCCTGCTGAGTTTCCGCCGGACGCCTACGAGCTTAGCCTCGTGCCTGAAGCCGATAGTCAACGTGACGAGCCAGCCGTTGGGATTGAGGCATCGGGTTTAGATCACAATATTTTGCACCTCCCAATTTGAGCAAACTGCTCAATTTGCCAAGAGGCGAAGCAAGATGCACTTCCGGCTAGAGTTTTAAGGGCCCAAGAACTTTGACTGACGGAAAGCCAAGTGCAAGTTTTGAGGATAGGGTTTATTCAGATCATATCGTTGTAGCTGAAGGTAGATTAGACGGTTCAAAGAAGGGGTTCAGAGGAGAGACCAAATGTCTTGTTTTGTTTGATAATTTCACCAAGATGGTGATGACTTATTCGGCAGCTTCCAAGTATGTCAAAGCACTCAAGCACTTTGGTGGCAAGCGTCCCTTGGTGCAGTTTCATGCAGACACCAACACTCCTGAGTTCGAAGGTACTGCAATCAGTTATAGGTCTTGTGTATGATGCGACCGTCTCATATAGGAAAACAGCCATCATCAATAGAGCCATCAGAACTCTTGAAGATGTCACTAGATGTTGTTTGGTCCAAGTTGGCAATTTCAATGAACTGTGGCCGCTGGCTGTTCGATATGCTGCCACTGCATCTACCATCAGCAATTGGAACAAACTCTATGTCTATGGCCATGATTTTGAAGGTCTTCAAATTCCCTTTGGTGCATTTATCCACTATAAACCCGGTGTTCCTAAAACCAAGCTTGGTGCAAAGACCTTAGCAGGCTTGTTCCTCGGTTGGAGGGTTGAAGCAGGGATCCAGTGGAAACGCGCTTATTTAGTTTGTGATGTTGCCAGTTTCCAAGTTCTCACGTCCATGGTTGTTGAGCAAACTGGTGCTGATAAGTTTCCTTTGAGAGAGGCCGTCAAAACTAAGCTTGAGTCACTTGAAAGTTTGCCTGTGCTTCGTTTGGAAGATGGTGTCAGAGCTTTGGAAGAAGATGTCATTCATGAAGAAATCGGCCCACTAGAAGAGGACGTCTTTCTTGACAATCCTGTTGGAGAATCGGAGAAACCTCCAAAGCACGAGTCCATCACTTTTCCAGATTGATGCAGTTTGGTTTTAGTACAGGTTGCTCAACCAACCTGCGAGAACGGCGGAGGGGAACATACTTCCAGTTGCAGGGAAAGGTTTGATAAGCTAATCAGGGGGGCAAGTTCACACTTCCCAAGGGCACTGCAAAGGGCGTTGACTCATGGAAGCTTGAAGAAGATAAGCTCAGTCGATTTCACCACATCAAACGCAAGAAGCTCTTCAATCCCTTGTTGCCAAATGATCTTCCTGTGAACGCCAAGTGACTTGGAGCAAAAACCGCCGAAGTTAAATACTTCGAGAACGGGGATGAAGGAAACGGTATTGACGAGAATTGGAGAGGTAACAACAAAACTCTGAAAGATTTTTGCACTGGAAAAACAATCTTTCAACTTCTGCCTGAAGACGATGAGGCTCCAAGTGGAGCTATTGAAACTATCGGATGGTGAGCAGCTGGCCTTGCCGCGCCCCATCCAGGGTGGGAAGAATGGGAAAAGGACAGCACAGCACAGAAGTTCTTGCCAGCATACGATACGATGATTGAATTTTGTTGCGGTCCCCAATCCAATCTTGGGAAAGTTTTGGAATCCGCAGGTGTGAAGCACATCCGTCTTACCAAAGCCAATGGGAATGTCGCAGAGCTTGAAGTGCAATCTCAACTTTTGGAAGTTCTAGACTCCGGTGCCATGAACGGTGTTGACCTTTGGGGATCACTGCCATGTAACCCTTGGTCGTCTTGGCAGCGACTGAACCTTAGAATTAGAAGGAGTTGATGGCACAAAGGTTGGAAAGCCGTAAATTGCTGACGTTCTTCTTCCAACTATCCGAGATCGTCTTGAACCGTGGAGGTAGAGTTCACTGAGACAGGATGCCCTGGTTGGAAGATTGAAGAGCTGCAAGACTTTTTCGAATCTCATGGTTTCCAGCTTGCGCATTTCAATGGCTGTATGGTAGGGTGTGATTCATATGAGCCCTGAACAAGGCCCCCAAATCTGCGTTCTATCCCATCACCATGTGCGAAAGCATTGTGTCATCATTGTTTCCAGAAATTTACCACAAGTTTGTTCCCAGCATGAGTTGCGTGCCGCGCACTGAAACTCCAGTGCATGTTCCCAAAGAATTGAGCCTGAGCACATTCCATTGAGCATCCATGAGCTGATTGACAAAAAGGTTTGGAAACATCATCTTTCAGCAGTCAGCGAAGCCCAAAAGGAAGCGCAAGGCCTAATTGATGCAGGAACTTGGGCTACAAGAATGTGATCCCTAGGCACGAGCTTGAACGCCAGGCAAGGCAAAGTGGAACAAAGGTAGCTATAGTAGGGAGACTGATGACAATAATGATCTGGAAGAATGCAGAATCAGCCACTGAAAAGCAACTGAAAGCAAGAATTGTTTTCCTCGGCAACAATGTTAAGGATGAGTTTGGTTTGGCATGTGAGCTCCAAGAGATCAAAATCATTCCTACTCCAATAGCTGGTTTGAACATCAATTTGGCTTGTGGTTTAAGATCATGGAATAAGACGTCGCAATCAGACGTTATCAAAGCTTACTGCAAATTCAAAGTGACCTTCGCACAGTGCATGACACGTACATTGAGCTTCCAGATGAATTGATCCCAGATCCAGATCATCTCAAACGGATACACATACCGTGCACCAAGTTGCACAAATCATTGTACGGGCACCCTCAATTGGGGGGCATTGGGGTTTGAAGTTCAAATATATATATATATAATGTCTCACATGGATGGAGTGAGAATCTTCATTATTCCCTTCCAATTTCATCATCAAAAAGTGGGACCTGTTGGTTGCTCCATACGCTGGTGGTATTGTAGTTTCAGGACCTTGCGGTAATCACAAAATTTCTGGTCAGAATTGTCAAAGCATCTCATTTTTCTGAAACACCCCAAGATGTCTCAAAAGTCTGAGGCAGGACGCACATGATAAAAGATGGGGAAGCCCACCTTGATATGCATGAGTTTGCGGACGTTGCCTGCAAGCTGTACGAACAGGAGTGTAAAAGGCTCCGACCCCATATCTAGACGAGAGTTCCTTGCCTGCTGATGACTGGGATAGTAAAGGTAATTTTGCCAGTTCAGCAGCCAGCCAGACTGATTGTGAAAGCCTACAGGCTCGCCAGACTCAGCAGGCCTGACCTGCAGCATGCCCTCAAAGAACTGAGCAAGAGAATAACAAAATGGAGTCGAAATGACGACCGGAGATTGTTCAGGGTTTTCTGTTATCTCAATGAACCAAAGCAGTACAGTATGAGATTGAAACTTGACCCACATGCAGCTTGGAAGTTGTGGTATTCAGGGATGCTGACCATGCATCCAAAACAGACCACGGCTACTATACTTCAGGCTCATTACTTGTAATTTCAGGTGGTTGATCATTTTCCCTGTGGCGTTTCGGTCTAAGAGGCAAACAGCGTGCAGTCGTTCCACGACTGAAGCTGAAGCCATTGCACTGGCCACTGCTTTGTTTAGTGATGTGCAATCCCTGCGCAAGAGTTCCTATCAGACCTCAGCTGGGCATTCGAAAAAACGATCTTGAACTGTGGAGCGGTTGACCCCAAAACCTGGACCCCCCCAAGGATCCCAAGTCACAGTGGATTGCTAGGTAAAACGGCCGCAGATGCAAAGAAACGATTTGTCACACCTCAGCTGGACATTTGCGAGCTGATTGGGGAGGTAGGTAAAGCGAACTATTGCATTTTTTGGGGTCGGCGAGGTGGCTTTCTCAAATTTCATTGCCATCGCTGCAAAAAATATTTGACCTTCATTTGAAAAATGGCTGAGCAACCACCACTGTTCAACACATATTTACGGAAAGACGGGAGTAATCTGTTATAGTACTACGCCACGATCCTAACATTATCGCTTTGCAACGTGAAGCATTTTTGGACCTGTTACTGTTACGTACAAGAACACCAACAAACACCAATATGGATGGGACCTAAGCACAACGAGATGACACCCAAATACAACGAAAACTATACTTATAGACAGATAGATAGGTAGATAGAAAGATGGATAGATAGATAGACAGATAGATAGGTAGATTCCAAGTATCCCCCTGCCGCCACCTTTTACCTCATTTTCCCCAAACAAACATGCTAAACATCATTTTCCCTAAGCAAACATGCTACTTTATGGAGATATACCCCTTTCACCGAATATAATATGTACTTACATGTATGTAAAAAATATTTTTATATCATATCGCGGGGAAATTCCCATCCGTACGTCACCTTCTTCGTGCAGAAGCCGATTGGGTGAGGCGGCTCCGTCGGCAGGAAGCCCCTCTGGTAATTCGTAGGTGTAGTAGGACGGACGGGGCGTCTGTTTACCTCAAAAACGGCTTGGAGGATCATCAAACGAAATGCAACTGGGAGAAAACACTGATGATTGAAAGTCCTCATTCCGGATAAACATTGACATCATCCATGCTGCACATGTATATACACTTGTTTACAGGTCTTATCAGTGAGGTTAGGAAAGTCACAAGGCAAGATCCTCAAAGCGGACGACTTGTCGCATGTTCCCTTCATAGATTTTCAGTCCTGTATATTGTCATCATGCTGTTGGGCTTTGGGGAAGCGTTACCGGTCCAAAATCACGTTCAAAGCCAAAAAGCAACTCCACTCTACCGACCTCTACCGGTTGGTTCATAGGATTTCCTATAATGCCAGCTCATGACTCATGAAGTGCAATAATCCCAAAGTAGTAGAACTCCCTATGCTAATCAACCAACGGAAGTTTTGAACACTACCCATTTGGGTACCATGGTTCCCAGTCTTAAGGATGCAATGTAAAACATGCTTGTGACCCCAGCCAGGATATCACCACATTATTTCATGTCCATTGAATTATATAATGTTGTTAAACTCCAAGATTGTCTCAAGACAAAATGTGTGTATATATAGATATATTTAAAAAAAAAAAAACTATGCGCATATATATATATATATACAGATAGATAGATATAAATAGGCATATTAGACTAGATTGTAATCATTCGTGTTATTGGTGATATGTTGTGTTGACCCTACTGGTTAAACGCAACATCAGCCGAATTGTCCGTCGTCTGCTCCAAATGACTAGGCTGACGGAAGTACTCCTTCTCAAGGGGCCTCAGTGCGTTTAACATGTCTGACATTGGTGGTTTCATGTGTCGAATTACTTCAAGCGAGTGTTGGTTGGTTGATCTTCCCCCCTTCTGGGTGAGGTGTACAACTAATCATTTTGTGGAATTGTAGCGTACTGAGATGCCTTCAAATTGGGTTGGGAAACCATGGCCAAGATGGACGACAAGAGAACAGCAAAAATGATACATTGAGGATACTTCAAAAATGGACACTACCAAAAAATCCAGGTCTTGATGGAATGCTAGCATTCACAAGAGTTATTATTTGTCGGGATGTCCAAACAACAAAATAAACGCGACCACACAATGATAAACGGACCTAAATTCTGCATGATGTCTCCAAGATTCCACTCTGGCAAAGGTTTTGTCAGTGGCTCGTTCTCTGGCATAGGATCCTCTGCCAATTCCTCCTCGGGTTTCAGTGGAGATTTCTTGCTGGTAGTGCGGCCTAGCGCCGCGAGCTCCAAGTGAAAGAGATCTTCTAGGTCCATGTCCGGGAGCGAATCTGTAGGAATCTTCTCCTCACAGCGGCTCCCCAAGTTCGCAATGGAACAATCCCAAGTTCCGCATGAGAATGCAGCTATATAAAAAAATGATGGAAAGCTTCAAAGCAGAGAACCAAGTGTGTACAGCAGCCAGCTATATCACCAGCCAAACAACCAACCAACTAACCAACCCTGCGAGATTCCCACAGCACAAAAGTACTAACAACCTAACTGAAAGCCCAACCTAAGTAAGACTTAAAGTTCCTCTCACACACCGGACATCTTGAGCCAAGTATTTGGCAAAAGTCTCATGCATGGAGAACCGCGGAAAAGTGTGGACTAGCCCGCTCAAGTGCTGAAGCTGCAGAAGCAGCTGAAGTCGAAGTGGCCCTTGCCTTGGCCTTGGGAAGCGCAAGTCCAGGAACTGTTTCATGTCTGATCTGAAACCCAAGTGGCGTCCCAAGTGGCGTCAAGACCAGAACTCCACCAAAGTTGTTTTCACAGTCGTCGAGTGAGCCAACATATTCACTCCAAGTCTCCTCACTAAGACCTAAGTCTAAGTTCCAGAGCTCCTCAACAAGTGCGTGCACTTCTCTGTGGACATCTGTCAGAAAAGTGTCCTGGCTTTCCAAAAAGTCTAACAAACCGAGGTCTGTTTACCTTTTCCACCTTGGTTCGGCACCGAAGTACTCGAACTTGTACCTGAACCTAAGTTCCCTTTGCCTGGAACCGGAGTTCTTTTGCCTTTTTCCAAAAAATGTGTCCAATACCTTTACCTTTAGCCTTGGTGTGAAAATTCCAGTGGGGATTTTTGCCTTTGCCTTTCCTAAGTCCTTTCATGGCAAGTTTTGCACGTGAACTGTTTAAAAGTTTGCCTTTCTTGCCTTTGCCTTTGCCTACGTAACCCATATCCGTTACTGCTGGCCCCTGTGATGATGATGAGCTATGAAGTATGTGTTGCCCACGAAAGTACTCGACGATCACTGCGCGCATCTGTGCGTATGTGGTCAACGTACGTGCATTCAAGCGCAAGTGCTGCTGGAAAGCTCCTGTGGTCTTGTTCAGCAAAGTGGCAACGCTCTCAGGAAGGTTCGTTCCAGACTGAGTCTCATACTTGAGACTTGATGGTCTCCCACGTGTTAAAGTCTTGTTCAAAAGTTGCTGGGTTGAACTTAGAGTCGCACAGCTGGTTGAGAAGTGACACATGACGTGTTGCATCAGGAAGTGCAATTTGCTCATTCATCCTCCACCAAGTCTCAAGCCCATTGGCTCCTTCATTTTGCCTTACAATCAATCTGGCTGAGCCAATGGTCAACAAGTAGCGCAACTTTCGAGAAAAGTTGACGGCTTGAAAGGTCGACATCACCTGTGTCCAAAGTGATGGTGAGATCTGTATGTAAAAGTGGTCGGTCGATCACGTCCTTCCACATCATCTATCAACGTCTTCACTGTACTGTCAAACATGCTGATGTAAGAGTGAATAAGTTCCAGCTCCAGACTTCCCACATGCTTGGGCTTCCACCATATTTGTCAGAAGTGGCAACTAAATTTCTTCAGCAAAGTCAAAGTTCTCTTTTGCTGTCATCTCAAAGTCTTGAGGTCAAAGTCCAAATGCTCCCTGGATCGAGAGCTCCCGCTACCATGCGAAATTCCCTCAGTATCAAAGTACTAACAACCTAATTCCAAGCCCAACCTAAGTAAGACTGAAAGTTCCTCTTTTACACCGGGCATCTTGAGCCAAGTATTTGGCAAAAGTCTCAGGCATGGAGAACGGAGGAAAAGTGCCTATAAAATTTCGCAAACCAAGCCACCAAGCAACCAAGCAACCAAGCAGCCAAGCAGCCAAGCAACCAAGCAACCAAGCAACCAACCAACCCATTGCTTCACCCATCCCCTTGTCTCAGGTTTGGACGGAACCCGCAAGTTCGCAATGGAAGGAATCCCCGGCGCCATGGCAATAATTACCCGCCGCACTCGGTCGTTTCACGGTCGGGGCAGCGGTTGCAAAATGTCCAGCAAAAAAACAATGCTGCGGTTATATACACAATGCAAGCATATGCAAGCTATGTCACTGAGGCATGCTGAGGGTTATATGATAACTTAGAACATAGTATGATAACAAGACTAAGAGTTATACCAGTATACGGTATACGCTACAATACTTCTTGCAATTGGAGTGAGTACAGTATAGGGTATAGGCCAGAATAGGTCTTGCAAATGGATCCCTTCGCAAGCTTCGCCAGATCCAGCCAGGGTATGGAGATATTTTCCAGCACAGCTTTGTTTATCAAAGGACACCTGTTGCTGTTGGTCACATCCCCATTCTTGCTGGTCGAAACCCTAGTTTCGCTGCTCAAAATCCCATCAGAACCTGTGTGTTTGATTTGAGATCCCCATCTTGGTTCTAGCACCCCCAAAAAAAATGTGATAAATTCGTACCAAGATAGTGATGTAGTGATGTGCAAATAGTTGTTCTGATTTTTTTGCGGGGTGGCCATAAGAATGCTCAGAATTCAGTTAAATTCATCGCCTGTGCAAAAGCCGGGAACGGCTCCGCCAGGCCTTTCATGACCTCAGTGGGAGGGGTTTTGGGAGGGCGTCCCCAATCAATGGACGAACATGTGTAGATCCGACCATCAAGTCATAATACTATACTTTTGTCTGGAACCCAACCGCCTTCTGAAATACTTTTGTTTTTCTGTTTTTTCTGGATGTTTGAGGTTGAGGCAGCAAAAAACATCTAGAAGTAGTGGAACATTGCTATAATCTTAGAGCCACCCTTCAGTCCACAGAGAACTCACTCCCGGTGTGCTGAGTGCAGAGGCATCTTCCCACAATGTTACCTTGGCCAGTGGAGGTGAGCCTACATTAATGTCGGGGTCCAAAAATGTCCAAAATGGATACCATAGAATACCCCAATTAATTCGTGGCCCATGTTGGTTAGTCAAATCTCCAAACCTCGACGTTTAACTCATCCCGCTCCGGCTTTCCGAATTGCGCCTCAGAAGTGCTCCTGTGAAGCCGCGTTGGGGCCACAGGGATTGGTCGTCTGCAGCGTTGCAAAAAAAACGTCCATTTTTCTGAGGTATTCAATGGCTTGACTTGACAACGACTCCAAATCCAGACACATTTTTGCCTGTTCTACGCCATTGAAACAAGCGGGTCTTTTTAGCCTACAAGATTTTCAGCAGAATGTGCCAAGGAGAGTCGGCAAGTTACATCCAAATGTTCCTGATATTTTCTGGTAGGTCAGGAATTTCCTTCATTCCATAAACCGTTATTGGGATGGGTCGAAATTTAAACCATATGGGACAACAGATATTAGGATTACTGTAATATTTAATACCCATAGGATCCATGTATACCATATATGGTAACATTTACCATTAATATACCCCCAATGCTAGCATATATATACCATACATGGATCCTATGGGATATGAAACAGCTAATTATTGGGGTGCCCAATGTTGACCCATACCCAAATCATTGCTCCTGCACGCCAAAGCCGCCCCCTGCGGTTGAAACACTGGCACTTCAAAGCCATGAACACAATTGGGTGATGGCTTCAAACTCACAACGGCTCAATAGATGGATAGCGAATAGGTAGGTAGAATCGAATAGAATAGAACAGAAGAGAAGAGACGAGAACAGAAGATAATAGAAAACATAACTATAATACAATAGAATACAAAATAATAGATAGAATAGACATTGAGAAGTAGAAATAGACATAGAATACAATAGAATACAAACAAATAGATATAACATAAATAGAAGTATGTAAATAAAACTGGAATACAATAGAATACAATAGAATAAAATAGAAACAGCAGTAGAAAAAGAACATGGTATTTTATAGGAGCAATAATAAAAGTAAGAAACAAATGGAATAGAAGGGAATGCAAGGAATTATGGAATAAAATTAATTGAATGGAATAAAACCAGAGACGAATAGAATGGACTAGACTGGAATAGAATGATATAGATAGATAGATAGATAGATAGAAAGATAGATAGATAGATACATAGATAGATAGATAGATCGATAGATCGATAGATCAAAAGATCGATAGATCGATAGATAGATTAAAAGATTAGATAGACAGATAGATAGATAGATAGATCGATAGATAGAACGATAGATAGATAGATCGATAGAAAGAAAGAAAGAAAGAAAGATAGATAGATAGATAGATAGATTAGATAGATAGATAGATAGATAGATAGATAGATAGATAGATAGATAGATAGATAGATAGATAGATAGATAGATAGATAGATAGAAAGAAAAAACGAAAGATAAATTGATAGATAAATAGATCTATAGAGAGATAGATAAATATATAGAGATCTAGAAAAAACTAGATAGATAGAGATAGATAGATATAGAAAGAAATAGACACATAGAGAGAGAGAGAGAGATAGATAGATAGATAGGTAGATAGATAGATATAGATAGATAGAGAGATAGATAGATAGATAGATAGATATATTTATATAAAGAGATACATATATATAGAAATACATACATATAAATATATAGATAGAAAGATCGATAGATAGATTAAAAAAAGATAGATAGAGATAGATCGAGATAGATAGAGATAGATCCAGATAAAGAGAGATATAGATAGATATAGATAGATATAGAGATAGAAAGAACTAGATAGAGATAGATAGAGATAGATAGAGATAGATAGAGATAGATAGAGATAGATAGAGATAGATCGAGATAGATCGAGATAGATAGAGATAAGTAGAGATAGATAGATATAGATAGATAGAGACAGATAGATAGGTAGATAGATAGATAGCTAGATAGATGGATAGATAGATGGATAGATAGAGATAGATAGAGAGAGATAGATAGATAGATAGATAGATAGATAAATAGATAGATAGATATAGATAGATAGATAGATAGATGGATAGATGGATAGACATATAGATAGATAGATAGATAGATAGATAGATAGATGGATAGAAATATAGATAGATAGAAAGAAAGATAGATAGAGATAGAGATAGAGATAGGGATAGGAATAGAGAGAGAGATAGATAGATAGATGGATGGATAGATAGATAGATAGATAGACAGAGATAGATAGAGATAAACAGAGATAGTTAGAGATAGATAGATAGATAAATAAGTAAATAGATAGGTAGATAGATAGATGGATAGATCGGTCGATAGATAGATAGATAGATAAAAAGATAAAGAGATAGATTGGTAGATAGTTAAGATAAGATAAGATAAGATAAATTAAATTGGATAGATTAGACAGCATAGATAGGTTAGATCGATTAGATAGGTTTGAAAGATAATATAGATGAGATAGATAAGAAAGAACAGATAGATACGATAGATACAATAAAGAAGATTGATAAGATAGATACAATTTCGATAACATACATGAGATAGATAAGATAAATAAGAACATGAACATACAGCAATATACATTAGAGAAATCAGACAAATACTATACTTAATATATATATGACAGAAAAAATGGATAAGAAAGATAATACATATTCAAAACAGATAAAATAGAAAATATACATAGACTAGATACACATAATATAAACAACATATAGAAGATCTATACGATCGATAAGTTAAGATAGATAAGGTGGATACTATAGACAAGATAGATAGAAAATTAAGATAAATAGACATAGATAGACAAATAAATAAAGATATAGATACACAAAAATATATAGATATAGATACAAACATAGGTATAGATATAGATAGATGGATAGATAGATAAAATAGAATAGAATAGAAGAGAACAGAATAGAACAAATTAGACTAGAAAAGAAAGACATACAGAAAAGATAGACATACAGAAAAGATAGATAGATAGATAGATAGAAAGATAGATAGATAGATAGATCGATTGATAGATAGATAGATAGATAGGATGGATAGATAGATAGATAGATAGATAGATAAATAGATAGATCGATCGATAGATAGATAGATAGATGGGAAAGATAGGAAAGATAGGAAAGATAGGATAGATAGGAAAGATAGGAAAGAAAGGATAGATAGATAGATAGATAGATAGAAAGATAGATAGATCGATTGATAGATAGATAGATGGATAGAAATATAGATAGATGGATAGATGGAAAGAAGTATAGATAGATAGAAAGAAAGATAAATAGATAGAGATAGAGATAGGGATAGGAATAGAGAGAGAGAGATAGATAGATAGATAGATGGATAGATAGATAGATAGATAGATAGATAAACAGGCAAACAAACAAATGTTCAAATATCATGAAGTAAATTTATCTTGAGATACTTTGTTTGACCCATACTCAACATCCTCTCATTGGAAATCGTGGAATCATCCCCTGGTCCCCTGGATACAATGAGACACGCCTCAACGGGGGATCAAATCGATCCTCAGGGAAGCGTGCCTTCATGTGCCTTCAATGCAGAGAGTTCTGTCTTAGTGTATACCTGTACCTCAAAAGAACATACCCTCCACCAAATTCACACATACATTTATGTATATACACATATATCGTATATATCCGCCGACCCTGGCCTTCGCCAAGGCAGGGGTGGCGCCTGGGACCACCGGAGGTGTGGAACCTGCTTTGTCTTTGCTGCTCCAGGATTGCAGCCTGCCCTTTGCCTGCACATCCCTCGCGGCAGCTTCCACCAAGCTCCTGGCCGTCAGCGTTCCAGCATTGCAGCCTGCCCTTTGCCTGCACATAGCCCTCTCTTGTTACGGCATTCGAGCCTGCCGTTTGCCAGGTTTCAAACCCCTAAAACCCCTAACACCCTCCAATTCCTTCGCGGCAGCTTCCACCACGCCTGGCCGTCAGCCTTTGCTGCTCCAGGGTTGCAGCCTGCCCTTTCCTGGCCGTCAGCGTTCCAGCATTGAAGCCTGCCCTTTGCCTGCACATAGCCCTCTCTTGTTAGGGCATTCGAGCCTGCCGTTTGCCAGGCTTCAAACCCCTAAAACCCCTAAAACCCTCCAATTCCTTAGCGGCAGCTTCCACCAAGCCTGGCCGTCAGCCTTTGCTGCTCCAGGGTTGCAGCCTGCCCTTTGCCTGCACATCCCTCGCGGCAGCTTCCACCAAGCTCCTGACCGTCAGCGTTCCAGCATTGCAGCCTGCCCTTTGCCTGCACATAGCCCTCTCTTGTTACGGCATTCGAGCCTGCCGTTTGCCAGGCTTCAAACCTCTAAAACCCCTAAAACCCTCCAATTCCTTAGCGGCAGCTTCCACCAAGCCTGGCCGTCAGCCTTTGCTGCTCCAGGGTTGCAGCCTGCCCTTTCCTGGCCGTCAGCGTTCCAGCATTGCAGCCTGCCCTTTGCCTGCACAGCCTTCTCTTGTTAGGGCATTCGAGCCTGCCGTTTGCCAGGCTTCAAAACCCCAAAAACCCTCTGCGGCAGCTTCCACCAAGCCTGGCCGTCAGCCTTTGCTGCTCCAGGGTTGCTGCTCTTTCCTGGCCGTCAGCGTTCCAGCATTGCAGCCTGCCCTTTGCCTGCACAGCCTTCTCTTGTTAGGGCATTCGAGCCTGCCGTTTGCCAGGCTTCAAACCCCTAAAACCCTCCGCGGCAGCTTCCACCAAGCCTGGCCGTCAGCCTTTGCTGCTCCAGGGTTGCAGCCTGCCCTTTCCTGGCCGTCAGCGTTCCAGCATTGAAGCCTGCCCTTTGCCTGCACATAGCCCTCTCTTGTTAGGGCATTCGAGCCTGCCGTTTGCCAGGCTTCAAACCCCTAAAACCCCTAAAACCATCCAATTCCTTAGCGGCAGCTTCCACCAAGCCTGGCCGTCAGCCTTTGCTGCTCCAGGGTTGCAGCCTGCCCTTTCCTGGCCGTCAGCGTTCCAGCATTGCAGCCTGCCCTTTGCCTGCACAGCCTTCTATTGTTAGGGGCCTGCCGTTTGCCAGGCTTCAAACCCCTAAAACCCTCCGCGGCAGCTTCCACCAAGCCTGGCCGTCAGCCTTTGCTGCTCCAGGGTTGCAGCCTGCCCTTTCCTGGCCGTCAGCGTTCCAGCATTGAAGCCTGCCCTTTGCCTGCACATAGCCCTCTCTGTTAGGGCTTTCGAGCCTGCCGTTGGCCAGGCTTTTTCAAACCCCTAAAAAACCCTAAAACCCTCAATTCCTTAGCGGCAGCTTCCACCAAGCCTGCGCCGTCAGCCTTTGCATTGCTGCCAGGGTTGCAGCCTGCCCTTGCCCTGGCACATCCCTCGCGAAGCTTCCACCAAGATCTGGCCGTAATCGTTCCAGCATCATTGGCAGCCTTTGGCCCTTTGCCTGCCAACATAGCCTCTCTTGTACGGCATTCGAGCCTGCGTTTGCCAGGCTCAAACCCCAAAACCCCTAAAACCCTCCAATTCCTTAGCGGCAGCTTCCACCAAGCCTGGCCGTCAGCCTTTGCTGCTCCAGGGTTGCAGCCTGCCCTTTCCTGGCCGTCAGCGTTCCAGCATTGCAGCCTGCCCTTTCCTGGCCGTCAGCGTTCCAGCATTGCAGCCTGCCCTTTGCCTGCACAGCTTTCTCTTGTTAGGGCATTCGAGCCTGCCGTTTGCCAGGCTTCAAACCCCTAAAACCCTCCGCGGCAGCTTCCACCAAGCCTGGCCGTCAGCCTTTGCTGCTCCAGGGTTGCTGCTCTTTCCTGGCCGTCAGCGTTCCAGCATTGCAGCCTGCCCTTTGCCTGCACAGCCTACTCTTGTTAGGGCATTCGAGCCTGCCGTTTGCCAGGCTTCAAATGCCTAAAACCCTCCGCGGCAGCTTCCACCAAGCCTGGCCGTCAGCCTTTGCTGCTCTGGCCGTCAGCGTTCCAGCATTGCAGCCTGCCCTTTGCCTGCACAGCCTTCTCTTGTTAGGGCATTCGAGCCTGCCGTTTGCCAGGCTTCAAACCCCTAAAACCATCCGCGGCAGCTTCCACCAAGCCTGGTCGTCAGCCTTTGCTGCTCCAGGGTTGCAGCCTGCCCTTTCCTGGCCGTCAGCGTTCCAGCATTGAAGCCTGCCCTTTGCCTGCGCAGCCTTCTCTTGTTAGGGCATTCGAGCCTGCCGTTTGCCAGGCTTCAAACCCCTAAAACCCTCCAATTCCTTAGCGGCAGCTTCCACCAAGCCTGGCCGTCAGCCTTTGCTGCTCCAGGGTTGCTGCTCTTTCCTGGCCGTCAGCGTTCCAGCATTGCAGCCTGCCCTTTGCCTGCGCAGCCTCTCTTGTTACGGCATTCGAGCCTGCCGTTTGCCAGGCTTCAAACCCCTAAAACCCCTAAAACCATCCAATTCCTTCGCGGCAGCTTCCACCAAGCCTGGCCGTCAGCCTTTGCTGCTCCAGGGTTGCAGCCTGCCCTTTCCTGGCCGTCAGCGTTCCAGCATTGAAGCCTGCCCTTTGCCTGCACATAGCCCTCTCTTGTTAGGGCATTCGAACCTGCCGTTTGCCAGGCTTCAAACCCTTACAACCCCTAAAACCCTCCACATCCCTCGCGGCAGCTTCCACCAAGCTCCTGGCCGTCAGCGTTCCAGCATTGCAGCCTGCCTTTTGCTGTTCCAAAATCATGGACAAAGGCAAGGAAAACATCCAACGTTTGTACCAACAGACCTGGAAAGGTGGTGATTAATGATTACTACTCCCAACAGACCAACTTTGTTCCAATCATTACCACTCCCTGTTCCAACCTTGTCTTGCGCATTGACTGTCCAGGGAGTAGTAATCGTTTGTTTTTGTCAAACTTTAACTACCAACAGACCTGGATAAGTCGAATTGTAAAGACAGAACCTGTTGGTAGGACAACCTTCCCACCCATGGCACTGGCACTGGCAAGGAGTACCGGAGTAGTGACCGGGGCGCCCTTGAAAGGGGGTCGGCGGCACCAGGGCGTTAGCCCATTCTATATATATATATGTGGAAAGACCACCAAGCGTAGATAACATCTTCGCCATGAATTTCCATATGGATTGGTCGGAAAATCGTGATACTCCACCACAACGTATGCCCATTTCAATATCGGGAAAATGACGCCTCTGCGAAGAACTCGGGTTGCTCGCTCAATGGCCTACGGACGTTGGTGCCAAGCTTTGTGTTGGAAATCCATCTAGATGTCTGTCTTCAACAACCCCAAAAGAATCCATGGGGCCATACTGTGAAGACAATCATGGCTAATGGAATTCTCCAAAGTGTGGCTTACATATTGGTATTGGTATTGCCCAAATTCTGGCTTATGATAATGTACCAATAACATGCATTCCACAGCTCCATTGGCAATTTCAATGTGTCATATATAACGAACCTGAAACAGACCTGTCAGCAAGGAACTTCAGTCGATGAGTGGCCCTGAAACTTGTGAATCATCACGTGGCTGAAATTGCCTAAAGTAGAGTAACAACACTAACGTACTGATGTTAGATCTAGTTTTCACCATTAGTAACTTAGTATCCCATCAAGGTTTAAACATAGATCCATAAATATATGGGTTTGTCTGAAAATAGGCTTCCCCCTAAATCCGTTGGTTAATCAGAATGTTCCATAAATAACGTCGGCCATTAAAAAGGGGTACATCTCATTGAACCCGACACACCACAATATCAAATTGTTGTTGGTTAGCTGACTTATACTCCCATCGTATTCCCACCACATTCCCATCCCTGGATAGTTCCTAAATAATATCAAATTGCTTACTTACAATTATCATATATCGCATTTAATATCCATTAAACATCATTAAACAATCCCATCTGGCTACCCTCTGGTAATTTAACGTAGCTATTGAAAATGGCCATAGAAAAAGTGGATTTTCCCATGAAAAATGGTGATTTTCCATGGCTATGTTAGTTTACCAGATGGTATGTCTCATTAAACATTCATTCAAACATCCGTCACGTCTCGCCTGTCCAGGTCCAGTGGCTGCTGCAGCACGGTAAGTTGGCCTCGGTGACCGCCCTCCTGGGCCAAGGTGAAGTGCGAGCCAGCGACCTCCTGGGCGGCCGCGGCTTCGGCTCGTGTGATTCAATCTCATTGACCTCAAAGAGATATATATACATATATATATAACTCAAGTATAGAGCATCATCATTAAATTATATCACTGTTTTTTATACAATAGATTTAAAATCATATGTATTGTTATATATATAGATGTTGTTTTGACCTCTGATAAGCCAGCTGCTTCACGTTTGTGTATCTATATCTATTGTAAATATGTATATATATATAATATAGAACTAAATAATTATCTATATATATATATATCTATATTTAAAAAATAATAGTATATATAAATATATATGCACCGAGAGTTGTGGCAATGCGTGTCCGGACGTGGTTCGACGCTGATACGCTGTTATGCTGAGTGCGTGATAAGTTGCAACTGAGACAACCGACCTTCTGGACCCAGCCATGTCACTTCGGCTCCTTGGGTAAGCACTTCATGATGCTACGCCCGGGCCATTGGAGATCCACCTTCAACCAGCCTCTCCTTTCGACAGCGATGACCTTTGACTGGAGATGCCCCATATACACAATGAACATATATATATAATATATATACAGTATACGCATATGCATACAAGTATAACATGTATACCAATAAATATGTATATATATACAATGTGCGTGCATAGTGTAAAACGAGATACGTTAATTAGTCCATACGTAGTGTATGTATATATATATGTATGTTATATATATATACCTATCCTGTATGTACATGTATGTATGTATGTATGTATGTATGTATGTATACATATGTATATATATATATATGTATATATATACATATATATGTTTTTATATATATGCAAATCAGTATGCTACTCGGTCTATGTATATGTAATATATACACACATATTATATATACGATTATATACGTATATATAGATGTATATATATATATTATGTATATATATATATAAGACAATGTGTAACAATAAGCATGTTGAATCAACCATGGCTGATTGCCACGATTCGACCAGGTCACCAGCATCAAACACATCCGAAAAATGGTGATAGGCATTGATAAACCATAGGAACTTGACGTTCCATTTTGGAGACAACCCTGCTACTACCCCGCTACTACCACTTCCAGTAGCAGAAACAAAGGGGAAATTGATGGTCGTTTCACTTGGGAACATCACTCACCATGAGTAGCAGCTCCCCCAACGGATGGAACACCCATTTAATTTGTAATCTCATTGGTTTCAACATATGCTCGTGATCTCAAGCAATCATCCCGATCCAACAACAAATAACAAGGAAATGTCAGCCACATATTTTTTTAGCTCCGAAGCAGTTACACACTGTAGTCGATTCATCGGCATCCGAAAGGCCCCTCCTCCCATCTGGCAGAATGATGCGCAGCGGCTGCATGGGCTTTGGGTGAGGATCATGCCGCATCCTGGCTGAAACTTTCATTGAAACAAATTCTTACTGGATCTTACTGGTGCGTTTTACGTAGGGAAAGGATGGGTTGCTGGGGGTTGCTGGGATTTCTAATACAGTTATTGTGGATCATTCCCGAAAATTCCCTACGTTTAGCACCAGTAAGAATATATGAAAAATCTTCTCATTTGGAACTCTTCAGCACCTCATTTTGTGGGCTCAACAACGAGCCAAAGCTGCTCAAGGGGAACACCTTGGTATGTTGATGAAGAACATGCACTAGAATTGCTGTACATAGACCTTGAGATCATTGTCAGCTGTCTTCAGCTTTGCTGAAATAATTGGTTTACCCGCTCTTCAACATCAAACATGACACTGCCATTGGGATCAATCTGGATCAATGCATCTTCTGGGATTCTAATCTACCAATCTACCTTTTTATCAGTCATCATTGGTCGATTGAGGGATCCTTGTGAAAATACATTCTACCCTCTGGTAAACGTTTACATAACTATGGAAAATCACCATTTTTAATGGGACAACCCACTATAAATGGGCAATTTTCAATAACTATGTTTGTTTACCAGAGGGTCTGCATTTTGTCCATTGCAATCCTTATCGAACAATTGTGGTTTTTGAGCTCCATCAGATGGGGCGACCACAGCAACATCCTGGGTGACCATCTCGTGTTTTTGACGAAAACATCATGAAACAACACCATGTTTTCGACGGTAAATTTGAGGTAAATCATCCAACTAACTCCATAGCAAAGTCTTAGATCGCCGGAGAGGAACCCCATTTTTACAATAGATAAATTCAACATATTTCAACCATGAAGTCACTTTAAAATAATCATTAGTCCACAGTTTCTTGCTTGTTAGATTGCCCACCATGGGTAAGCTAACATGTGGAGTTTACCCACCATGGATGTAGATCATGTTCCTAGGGCTTCCCCATGGGTCTTCCACATATCCCGTTCACATCCCATTGAATCACTATGTTTTATGGAAACAAATGCTTTACTTCGTGTGATCCGCACCATGACATTTATACATTTGCTTACTGGCAAATCTTCTGGCATTCTATCTGACATATCTTCTGGCATCTCTATCTGGCATTCTATCTGGCATATCTTCTGGCATTCTATCTGGCATCTGGCATATCTGGCATATCTTCTGGCATATCTGTTCTGGCATATTCTATCTGGCATATCTTCTGGCATATGTTCTGAAATATCTTCTGGCATTCTATCTGGCATTCTATCTGGCATATCTTCTGGCATATGTTCTGGCATATCTTCTGGCATATCTTCTGGCATTCTATCTGGCATATCTTCTGGCATTCTATCTGACATATCTTCTGGCATATATTCTGACATATCTTCTGGCATATGTTCTGACATATCTTCTGGCATTCTATCTGGCATTCTATCTGGCATATCTTCTGACATATCTTCTGGCATATATTCTGACATATCTTCTGGCATATGTTCTGACATATCTTCTGGCATTCTATCTGGCATATCTTCTGGCATATGTTCTGGCATTCTATCTGGCATTCTATCTGGCATTCTATCTGGCATATCTTCTGGCATTCTATCTGGCATATCTTCTGGCATTCTATCTGACATACTTCTGGCATATGTTCTGGCATATCTTCTGGCATTCTATCTGGCATATCTTCTGGCATTCTATCTGGCATATCTTCTGGCATTCTATCTGACATTCTATCTGGCATATCTATCTGGCATATCTCATTGAATTATCTCATGGCATTTTATCTGTCATATCTTCTGGCATTCGATCGGACCTTCTATCTGGCATATCTTCTGGCATTCTATCTGGCCGTTGAGGTCCAGCGGTGCACTGAGCTGGGCAGGTCCCAGGTTGAGGTCCAGCGGTGCACACTGAGCTGGGAAGGTCCCCGGTTGAGGTCCAGCGGTGCACACTGAGCTGGGCAGGTCCCAGGTTGAGGTCCAGCGGTGCACACTGAGCTGGGCAGGTCCCAGGTTGAGGTCCAGCGGTGCACACTGAGCTGGGACGGTCCCAGGTTGAGGTCCAGCGGTGCACACTGAGCTGGGAAGGTCCCAGGTTGAGGTCCAGCAGTGCGCACTGAGCTCCGAAGTTGGCGAAGAGCTCGGCCAAGAGTTGGCAAAGAGCTTGGCGAAGAGTTGGCAAGGCGGAAGTGCAGGTGGAAGTTGATGCAGACATGGTCGAGGAGAAACTGGAGGAGGAGGAGGACGAGGAGGAGGAGGAGGACAGCTAGCCGAGGAGGAGGAGAACAACTCTGATAAAATCTAACAACCCTCACCTGGCAGGTGGGGAAAAAGATGTTAAGGCACCATTTTGCATGAGATCCCTATCCCAAAACTTTATACCCCAACTTTATGGGTTATATAAGGGTTATATATGGGTTCTACTTTTCCAACTCACGGTAGCATAGGTACCATAGGATTGCCCTTTTCGGCCTTGATGCCGTTGATGCCGTTACGTCCCACTCCGCCAACTTCTTGCGGGCCACCTGGGCGAAAGCACCGTGATACTATGAGTATAGTTTTAAACACATATCATAATATTAATATATGAATATGTATGTATATGTGGATATGTAAATGTATATGATATATATATATATATATTTATATTATATATATATATATATATATGGTATCAAACAAAATCATATATATATATATCTATATAGTATGATGTGCATTTATGCACCGGTTCTGAAATTTGGAACCTGATTCGCAACCCAGCTGATCAACGATCTGATCCATGTGACCTCAGGGACCATCGAATCCCATCCAGGGAATGATGCTTCACCCAGCTATTTATAAATAAGCCACTTGCTTTTGGGAATGATGGTCAACCATGGTTAACCATGGTTAACCCAGTTATTTTATCTTATTTATACATAAACCATTTTTTTTTTTAAATGGGGATGATTTATAACTGGGTTTACCACGTTTATCCCTGTCCCTCGTTCATATTCAACATGATCACACACACAGAGTCACCATGCTGGATGTAGGAGGATTGGGACATCTGGCTGATGGCTAAAACCACCCATGGTCAATCTTAGATACATTGCAAACAAACATGGTTTTAGTTGCCTAGTCAATATACCTATATACAGTTACTGTTATATATATACATATATGTATGTTATTATTATTATCATCAATATTATTAATTATATATATATTCATGTTCCCATCCATAGCCAAATAATTCATAATAGAGCAGTAAAGAGTCCAAGCAAGGTTGACTTCTTAGCCTGTTCGTCGGCTTCTATCACCAGTTAAAATGTGATCAAAACCCAAAATGTCCTCCCTTTATACTGGTTCTGTAAAATGTATTCCCGGAATGGATGATAATCCATGACAATGTCCTATACTATATCATATACAAAGTTGTGGTTTTTGACCCCCTATTCCATACCCAAACAACAGCCAGGGTCAACTGGTCATGGCCCAAAAAGTGGCGCCTCCAACCCCTGCAACTGCACACCCTGCTGCAGCGCATCATCTAAAACTCGACGCAAGGCGCTTGCGTCTTTCTCCTAGAGAAAAGCAGGGATGGGAAAGGCCATTGGGGATGATTGGGGCTCTCTGATATACGAGTACTTGGTGACTCACTCATATTTGTTTTTTCTATCTTTGGTTCCTTATGAAGTTTCTCTATCCATTGTTACCACAGATAGCCCAAGGATGGGGTGGTTTTGATGGTGGCATTTGAAATTCGCCCAACCAAAATCCAAGTTTTTATACCCCCTAGTTATTTAATTTAACGTAGCAAACAAACTGAAAAATCAGCATTTTATAACTATACAAATTATCATAAATCATCTACACATGGGCCATGGTTTCCATAACTATGTTAAATAAATGGTAAATGCAACTGCTGTTGCGAAATGTCACAAGCGTAGTTCATCCAACCATACCCTGCCGCTCATCATGATCATCATGACTCGGTCCTGGGATTCTCTTGAAGCCATAGATTGGTGGTGAATCCATATTAATCCCATATTGATATTAATCCATATAAATCCCATCAATTTTATTAATCCCATCAATTCCATCTATCACTTCCCATCTGAAACATATTCCCATTCCATCACTTCGGATCTGTTGGTCATGCTTACAATCGTTGCCACGTTCGTTGCCACGTTCGAGTTCGATAATTAGTCCCATACGGGTGTTTCTCAAAATGGGGGATCCCCAAGTCACCATGGGTTGCGGTACTAAAATGGTCAAGTTGATAAAAACAAATGGATGATTTGGGGCTACCCTCATTTGAGGAAACCTCCATTGGTCTCTTTTAAACTGTGGATTTATTCCCAAACTGCGGCCACTTTTTCAGAGGGACAATGATTTTGGAGCCGGTGGATTTGAGGGTACCCATTTCTCAGGGAAAAAACAACATTTTTATGTCCCATATAGATCCATATAGTACCCATAGGATCCATGTATGCCATATATGGTAACATTTACCATTAATATACCCCCAATGTTAGCATATATACCATACATGGATCCTATGGGGTAAAGAAATCGCTGAATGTCCCATCAAAAATCCACATCATTCCACATAATTCCCATGAACAATTTCCATAAATTTCCCATCAATGTCCAAACAAAAATGAAACGAATGGGGGCAAATGCCGTCCTTCAACGCTTGTAGCATCTCTTTGGCCAGGGACCGCTTCGTGGCTCCCTCCGTCAGCGTTTTGGGCGGCCTAGAGTCGGCAAGGTAGGGGCCTTGGTAGCCTCTGGAATCAAACGCAATGGCTAATACTGGTTAATAATGATAATTAAATGAGAATTAATTATAGTTAATGACAATTAATTTAATGATATAGTTCATGATAGTTAATGGCAGTTAATGATAATTAATGATAGTTAATGATGATCAATTGTGATCAATTAATGGAGATTTTACCCTCCGGAAGTTTGACATATAATATAGCTATGGAAACCATGGCCGCGTGGTTCGTTGATTTACCATGATTTACCTACGTAGCTATAACATGGTGATGTTCGATAGCTATATTAGTTTACCGATATACTAACAACCCCTAAAAAGATCTAAAAAGTGGAAAGCTCCTGTACTCAAATGGTATTACTAAATTCAACCCTTTTTAGATCCTCTTTGTACACGTTCTATCATTCTGGGTGCGCCTCTGAACATCGACTTCACCGAGCTTCAAGACCTTGTGCCGCCTCATCTCATCGAGGAGATTTCGATTTCTAAGAATCGAATTACAAAAAAAGAGGGCCCCCGTTGATAGCAATTCTGGTTATCAATCACTGGGTGGATTCTATATAAAGTATATATATATATATTATATTATATATATTATATATGATATATATTATATATTATTATATATATTATATATATTATATATATTATATATATCATATATATTATATATTATATATATAGGTTTATGGATCTTCATGGTAGAAGATAACGAACTAGTGAATGGGGGTTACGAACCAACAAACAAACCTGGGGGCACCACCTTCAGTTGGCCAAAGAAACCTTCCAATGAACAGTCATCCATATCAACTCCGACAAAAAAAAAAACATACAAAACAACATGGGAATTTCCATGCCTGGTGTCTTTCTGTTTGCCAAACGGATCCAAAAAGGTATGGACATGGGTCAACATTGAGTAATTACCAACAAGTAGCATGACTTAGAACCAAAATCACCTTACCATTACCATTGTCAACAAAAATCAGACCTTGGTGCCCAGCGCACTGATCAGAAACTGTACATTGACCTGGCCGGAGAATGAACCGTGTTTCACACCCCTTTGATTGATTCAACATAGCGATTCATCAGGCTGAACACATATAATCAGTACCAGGCGATGGGAAATCCTAATGTTGATTCGTAAGCAATCTCAAATGTCAGATATTGTATTTTTCGCCAAATCCCAAATTTTGATTGGTAATTCATTACTACCATTACTACCTTTCTGGAGGATGTTCCAGCAGGCTATGCTGGTGTAGCAAAGCAAACGCATGCACAGAAATTGACGCAGTTTTAGGCAATTTGATCCCCTTTTTAAACGAACAGAGTAGTTCTTCTACCACATCAGGTGTGTGTTTAAACTTTAGACCTTCGTCATATCCCACAAGTCAGTTTCGCCCATCGAGTTCCGCCGCAACCATCCATCAAAATCCGTTTCCAAAACTTTTTCCACATCTTCCCATCCAACAGGTTTCCAGCAGATCCCTGCTGAAGACCCCCATGTCCGGCACGCTCTCCGGCGCCGTCTCCGGCATGGTCTCCGCTACCGCCGTGCGAAGACACTGCAGCGACAGGCGCGTGGCAGCGGCGAAGATGGTCCGACGGAACGTGCGTTCTGCCAGTGGAAGAGGGGCAAAGTCGCTGGCCCACTGAGAAGTGCTGTAGCCTTTGGCCAAGGTCAATGGATTGGTCATGTGAGCAAACCGAATGCCATAAACCTACCGGGGGATGGTCTATAGCAGCCATAAATAGATGGTGATTTAGGGATAGTGACCATAGTTGTACATGGGATAACCTCACGAAATGGGGACTTGGCTATCCGGTGAAAGATGTTCCTTGCGAGTGACCTTTGGCTGAGTCAGTGAGGCTTGGGAGGGCTGGGGTAACCTGATATTTTGTTTCTAGTAAATATATACATATATATATATATATATTATATATATGATTATATATGTATATGGTACAGGCGTGGACCCCACCCCACCCACCCGTCATGGTCATTTTTCCCCACCCACTCTGTGGGAATGGGGGAGTCTATTGCTCGTATGTGTACATGCATGTATGTATGTATGTATGTATGTAGGTGGGTGGGTAGGTAGGTAGGTAGGTAGGTATGTGGGTATTTAGGTATGTATTTATGTGTGTATGTATGTATGTATGTATGTATGTATGTAGGTAGGTAGGTAGGTAGGTAGGTAGGTAGGTAGGTAGGTAGGTAGGTAGGTAGGTAGGTAGGTATGTGGGTATTTAGGTATGTATGTATGTGTGTATGTGTGTATGTATGTATGTATGTAGGTAGGTAGGTAGGTAGGTAGGTAGGTATGTATGTGTGTATGTAAGTATGTAGGTAGGTAGGTATGTATGTAGGTATGTAGATATGTAGGATTGTAGGTATGTAGGTATGTAGGCATGTAGGTATGTAGGTATGTATGTAGGTAGGTATGTAATTATGTAGGTATGTATGCAGGTAGGTATGTAGGTAGGTAGGTATGTATGTGGGTATGTAGCTATGTAGGTATGTAGGTATGTAGGTATGTGAAGTATGTAGGTAGGTAGGTAGGTAGGTATGTAGGTATGTAGGTATGTGTGTATGTAAGTATGTAGGTAGGTAGGTATGTAGGTATGTAGGTATGTATGTATGTAGGTGGGTGGGTAGGTAGGTAGGTAGGTAGGTATGTGGGTATTTAGGTATGTATTTATGTGTGTATGTATGTATGTATGTATGTATGTAGGTAGGTAGGTAGGTAGGTTGGTAGGTAGGTAGGTAGGTATGTAGGTATGTAGGTTTGTATGTGCTTGCACAGATGTTGGATGCTACGTTGAAGTACCTCCCTCGTACTTGCGCAGACCCTTGCTGCTACGTTATAGGATTCTTTCTGGTACATGCACAGACAGTTGATGTTACGTTACATGACCTTCTATTGTATTCGCGCAGACAGTTGATACAACGTTATAAGGATTTATAATATCTTCTCTCCTACTTCCGTAGATGCTTGATGTTACGTTACAAGATCTTCTCTTGCACTTGCACAGACACTTGTTGCTGCATTAATAGACTTTCTCTTGTTCTTGCACAAACGCTTGAGGTTATAAGATCTTCTCCTGTACTCGCACGTTTGCACAGACGCTTGGGCTTGGTGCTACGTTAAAAGATCTTCCCTCGTACAGGGTGCCGGGTGCTGGGCTACCGGGGAGGGGGGACCATCATCTGGGGGGGGTAGCCGGGGGGTAGCCGGCCTGGGGGGCATACCATCAGGAGGGGGGGTACCGGGCCGCAGACCGGGACCATATAAATAATATATGATTATGTATATAGAGCCACATTGTGAAATGTGAAGACTCAACCTATGCTGTTGAAATATGTTCAAGTGGTATGGTTTCAATGATTCTTAAGAGCAGCTGAACATGGCCCAAACCCCGCTTGGAGTAAACAACAGTGAATCTTGGCAATTGGATGGCTATAGCTCCAAATCGCTCCCTACCCACTGGATAGCTTGGAAGTTGGGCAGCTCACTACATCTTGTGCTCCTCCCATCTGCTTCGCCAGTCTTCTTGCTGCCACAGTCCACTGCGGTCCGGCCACTTGAAGTGCTTGTAGCGCCACCGTGTAGGCCACCAGATTGGGCTCACGGCTGCAAAGCTCCTCTGGAATCATTAGAGGTTGGTTTAACGGGACAATTTGCGGTTGAAACTTGCGTAGTTCATTGGAAAAAACCATGGTTTCTGTTGGTTTCTGGATGTTCTTTTGTGAGATGATTGCTGAACCATGGGAGACCATGATGTTCCAAAACAAAGATGGACAATTGGAAGAATCATCCCATTGTGTGGGACTGAAAATCAACCTCTACATATGATACATACCTGGGGGATTCTTTTAAATTGGGAATCCCAAGTCACCATGCTTGTTTCAATACTGAGTCATGGTCATCCATGACTTGGATGATTTGGGGGTATATTCTGGTTAGGAAACCTCCATTTTTTGGGGGGAAACAAAATGACATGAAACACAGCAAGATCCCCCATGACTCATGAAACCTCCCCACGGCTATGGGTCAAAATTGGGTACCCCAATAATTAGATGGTTCATGTGGTTAATACAAAACATATTGATTATCAAATATATTTTATTAGAGCCTCTGGTCCCACAGGGCTTAAATTTTGAGCAATGGAAAAAAAACAAAACATCACCATGAAAATCACCAAGATCTCCTGGCAGAAGACTTCGAGTGCTTGCACCCAGCGATAGACCTCAAAAAGGCCAGGTTGTTTTTTTGGATGCGATGGAGGGGGCAATTCCCATGTTATTTCAACAGAAAATTGTTGGCATTCTTTGACCCTACAGCAACCCTCAAATAGAAGAGCTGGAAGCGTGGAAAGCATGAGGGAAACATCATCTATAACATCCTAGAACTAGTTGAAATCACCAATAGATTCATCAATGGTGCGCTTACAGTCCTCCCATTCCATCCCACTATATATCCCCAATAAATCCTCAGTAAATTCACTGTTGTTCCCCATTATATATCATGATGAAACCGGAGCTCCCGCCTTCACGTAAGAAGTCAGAAGGGAACAGTGGCTGAAGATGTTGGGAGTGACCTGCAGTGGCACTATACACCGCCGTATACCGAGCAATGAAGAAGGCAACACAAAACAATAAACACATTCTAGGCAACTATAACTTACATACAAAAATTCACACACCTCAGTCATGGTATATATAAATAAATAATTAAACAAACATAAAAAAACAAATTATATATATATGTAATATATATATATAATTAATAATTATATATTTGCAAATCACATAAAACATCAAACCATCAAAAAACAATCCGAGTCAACACAATCTCACACCTTTGGATTTCCCAGTGAGTGAAGCTCTTGCGCCTGCGTCAGTGGCATGTCCCGGAGCAAGCCTTGAGCCACTTCCCAGCGCTGGGAACGATGGCAGGCAGCCAACAAGCTGCTGAAGGTGAACGCGTCTGGCCTGCGCCATGCCTCCACCATCCTGACGGCTGTTGATGCCGTTCAAAAAGAGCTGGGAAAAAATATGGAAATGATGAACTTCTGGAAGCATCCTGGAATAAGGGTGTTCATTTGGGAGCCCGAAAGATAAGACTCTTATATATTCTTATATTAACATTTTGGGAAGTCTTGGGCTGTTCTTGAAGCTTGACCCATGCTTTGATGGGGTGCTTCCTTCATAAAATGGCCATTCTGGGATTGGTGGTTGGGCCCCTTGGGCCTCCCATCCCACATGAATCAGCTAGAAACAGCACTGGCTAGGATGGAATGATTTAAATAATGATATAGATGATACCATTTTGCAGTACGGAGATATTTGGTAGATGGGTCACTAACTCCAAGCATCTTCGCGCTATCTATTCTGTGTATTGTTTCTCTCTCTCTCTTTCTCTCCAAATATATATATACATATATATATAATATATATAATTATATATATATGTATATATATATATATATATCCTTAAATATCCTTAAGTTACGTCTTCACGGTCTACATCACAAGAATTTGGCGATCAAACGCTATTTCACGACCATTTCAACTCTCAGAAACAAAAAATGCAATACAGTATCAGGACCCTTGTATCATTTGTAGTGGCATTGCAGTCCCAAGAAGGTTCCTGTATGACCCAGATAGAACAACACATTTCCAGGATGGTACCTCAATCATATCTTCCATCCTGGATGGTACTTCAAATCATTTTTAGGATGGTACTTTCCAGGATGGTATGTTCAAATCATGTCTTCCCAATCATTTCACAGAATTTCCTGTATTTTCTCAATGATTTCATAGAAAGTCCAAATTTCCAAATGAGGTCACTTGGGAACAAAAAACCACACCGTTCACCGCAGCGCAGGCACCGTTGCAGCAGCTGGAGCGCCAAGTGCCACTGCCGGCCCTTGCTGCAGACCGCGAGGCTGGCGTTGTATCCCTCGGCGTTGGCCAGAGGCACCTCCTAAAAGCGACCGCGATGAAGGTAAGGTAGGTCGGTGAGTATGGTCATCCTGGAGTGGATCAAGTATGGATGAATATGGATAGACTATGGATAGAATATGGATGACTCTGGGAGTCATGTTGGTAAAAAAAATAAAAATCCATCATCCCCAAAGACTTCCCATGATTTTTTTTGGGTCGAAGATGACAGAATCTGGATGATTATGATATTTATATATATATATATATGATATAATATGGATATGTCATGATATGTCCAAGAAAAACATCCGCTAAAATGGGAATATGATTAAACATGTCATCAAACATGGCTGGAAACTGGAAACTCCCCCGGCTATAGTTCGATGAATTTCCCAGCGAACCAAAAATCCAGCCTTAGCGCACCGATTTCCAGTCATGTTTGTTGACACCGGAGGGTAAGTTGGTTTATAACGAAGGATATTTCGGCTAGGACCCTAGGATTTACCAAGAGGACTTCTCGACTTCTCCGCATATCTTTTTTTGTGAAATTCACATGGTTGATGACACAACCAGCCACTTTTCTGGTCACTTCTCAAGCCACCGAAATGGCTGGTTTAACTGGTTTCTGGTCATGTTCAATCCTCGAAAATATGACAAGCTTTGTGTGCCATAAACATGGTCTTTCCAAAATCAAGTCGCGCAAAAATAAAGTGGTCTAAAAAGTATTAAAACGTCATATTCACCTGTCAAAATGGCAAGCTTGAGTTTTGGACAAACCATAACAAACCAATATTAAATATATAAATCTAGAAAGAAATATAATACACACATATAAATCGTTTATAAATCTATAATATTCTAATCATAATTCTGATCCTGAGATAGTTTATTCTCATTCATCTGCTTATGACTGAGACCACGGATCAGTTCAACCCGTCATGCCAGCCTCAGGGTGGCGATACAGCTTGAGTATTGCATAAGAATGCATTGTACAAGAGGGGCTCGGAACCAATGTGGGTTGCATATTTTCAGCTATACCAAGCACATAATACTTTAAGAATTTGAGGGACCCTGGGATAGGATTGCCAAATTCTTAAAGTACTGTTTATACGCGAGGATTTGTGGGTTTTACAGAATGGGACCTGAAAGGTTGCAATTCCCCTTTGCGGTTCCCTTTTTGTGGAATGCCCCCTTATGGGATGAAATCAGGCTTTGCAGAACAACAATTTTTCAGGCTCTGACAGATTGTTTTTTCGCATTCCCCCTGTGGAATGAAATGGAATGAACCCTTCTTGTGGGGATTGCAAGGGTCAAGCCAAGCACTGCTAAAAAACATTTTTTCGCGACCCGAACATTTGTTTTTTTGGCACTGCCCCTGTGAGACTCAGAAATGAGATGTTGCAACTCTTCTTTCTCTCTGTCCCCGGACCAACCCATCAGACAAGGGTTAAGACATGTTAACATCACAAATCATGGTTGATCATCGTGTTTCTTCTCCAAAGGAACATGGGCATGACATATGGAGGTTTCCATAGTCATGGGGCTACGCCCCGTCACCTATGGTACCCCCCCCAAGACCTACCTGTTTGTGTTTTTTTCCTGGTATTTGCAGTAAATATGCACATTTTGAGCTTATATTTTTGGTGGCAGTTTTGGGTCATGTTTTGGTTGACTTGTGGGGGGTGCCATATATATATATAAATAATAGAATTCCAATAACCATGTAAACACTCATGTGCACACACACACACATTGAACCCCCAGAAATTATCTTGAATCTTGAACCTTGAATCGCCAAAAAATGCAAACGTTTGCAAATTTTCCTGGATTCAAGATTCAAGATTCAGAGGAAAAGTTCTTGAATCCAAGCCCTGACTGGCATCCAGAACCCCAAGATCTAAGGGCTTGGATTCACGAACTTTTCCTCAAAATCTTGAATCTTGAATCCCAAAAAATTGCAAACGTTTGCAACTTTTGCTGGGGAAACTTCTTGAATCCAGGCCTTGACTAAATAAAAGGTATGTTAGAGGTATAGTGGTATGTTCAAGGTCAATTAAATGGTATAATAAAGGTATATAATTAATACGGTATATACCACCAAGGAATATTAAAGGTGTAGTAAGCGACATTGTATTTTAAAGATTTACTACAGATATATATATATATATTAATGTATATTATATAGATTCATGGCCAGACTGGAATATTACAGGTATACTACAGGTATACTAAATGGTATATCAGAGGTGGAATTGATGGTATACTAAAGGTATATTAGAGGTAGACTCATGATATATAAAATGATGTGCTAAAACCATATTAAATCATATAGTAATGGTATATCAAATGGACTATTAATGATTCTAACATGGTAAACTAAGTATAGATTGTATATTAAACGTCTATTAAAGGCAAACAAACTAAATGGTAAGCAAACGGTATTTTAGAGGCATAGTGGTATGTTCAAAGTCCATTAAATGACATATGGAAGGTATATGAAGGTATATACCTTCAAGGTATACTAAAGGTGTAGTAAACGACATGTTTAATAGTATTAATTAATGGTATATCTTATCAAATGGAATATTAACGGTTCTTAAATGGTAAGCAAAGGATAGATGGTACATTAAAGATTTATTAAAGACAAATTAGATGGAACATACAAGGTATGCTAGAGGTAGAGAGGTATCCTAAAGGTGTATTGAAGATGTTTTCATGGCCAATAACATGGTATATCTAAGGTAAATTAAATGGTATAGTGAAGCTTTATGCATTGAAGGTATATTTAAAGTATATTAAAGGCATTTTCAAGGCCAATTAAATTGTACATTAAAGGTAGCTTCATCGTTATCCAGTGAAATGTTACAGGTACATTGAATGGTATATTAAGGTTTTTGTTTTTGTTTTTTAGATGGTATTTAAAAGGGGATATTGAAGGTATGCCAAAGGTTTACTAAAGGTTTATTAAAGATATCTTTATGGTCAATTTACTGGTATATTAAAGTATATGGAATCTATAATGAATCTATATTCACTGTAGATCAAAAATTGCTGATCAAGATATTATTACTCTGTTGCATCAAAAACACAGACATATCCAAAATGTTAGAATCTGGCGTTTTGAAAGAAATGCTGTATGATTGAAGGAAGGCTTAATATTAGTTTGAAAGGAAGACTGCACTTCTTCAGAAAGAAAACACTGCATGTTTAGAGTACTCTATATTTTGTAGGGGTACTGTTTCTTGAACGAAGTCATACTTTGTCTGGAAGGAAAACTGCAACTATCTGACACATGTAAGCCCAAAAAAGGTAGGTCTTGGGGGGGGTAGCATATATATATATATATATGTATACGACCAATATGGAGGTTTCCTAGAATAGGGGTACCCATGGGGTATATTACTCGGAGGTACAAGCGATGCGCCGACCTACCCATGGTGACGATCCCCCATTTGAAGAACCTCCCCCATGTGACTCCCCATTCAGCTCCTGCAAAATCCATAATGCCCGGCTCCACGCCACAACCCTGGCGCAGCTGCTGATCGCCGCGTTGCAGCTGCTGTCGCCCAACGGCTGCCGTCGTGAACGCGCCACGGACAGCAGGGCCAAAGCCAACGGCCAGTGACCCACGCGGGAACAGGCGCTGATGGTGGCGCCACAACCAGGGTTTCCTACCCGGCACGTGGTGAACAAAACTGTGAATCACTGGGTATACCCATATTTTCAGAAAAAAACAACGGAAAAGCATATTGTTGATTAGTTATAAACTGTATCCCCACTATATCTCGATTCTATTCCCCTAACATTCGATATCGTTCCCATATCCTCAATTTTACACTGAACCACTGGATGGAGCTTCTGTCCCCATTTCATAACCAGTGATTCAACGGGCTATCCCTTGGCATAAACCGACAATTTTGATGGTCAAGATGATGCTTAAATCACTTAAATCCGCATTAAATACCAATCAACGGGGTTTTCCCTATAATCTGCTGGTTCAAATCCCATGAGAACAAAAAATAATCGGGTTTAGCACTGCTCCACTAGTCACTAGCCCTATCCTTCACCGCTGTGCCAGGTGTGGGGTGTATCAACCCTCCAGCGCTGCGTCAGCAGGGCCAGACACACGTCCCAGCGGGTCGCGCGGCCAGAGGCCACTATGGCGCTGTCCCAGGCGTCCACGTCGATGCTCCGAAAGCAATGCAAAAGATGGAGGGAACTTTGCCAAAGAGCCTCTTCCTGTGGGCCATGGCGGCCATGGATTGTGGATTGGGATTGAAGATGATTTCGATTTTTTTTTGGGATAAACAAGTCGGATGGATTCGGATGGGATGATTATTGGGATGCGGGATGATTGTTTAATTGGATTTAAGATAATTTATATGACTCCACCAATTATAAAAATGATTATGATGGGCATGGGATTAAGGGTATCAATCAACAATGAGAAACATGGGATGAATGGTGTAGGGATTCCGCTCAATGCTATTCTATCATGGGTGTACATGCTAACTCACCTTGTTTCCCTAGATCTAATTCGCAGTTGCCTTGGATGTTTCAGTGGAAGCAGGTTTGACACGAGACATCCTAGCAGAAACTTGCAGAATTATTAAATGATATGAAATTGATTGTTTGAAAATAGGGTATCCCCAAATCCAATAGGGCAGGCTGGGTATACCCCATTGTTGGACGCACCATTATATAAGCCCTTCTTCCTATTACTAACCCCTTACACATAATAAAAACTGCCCCATATTGTTCGTTTAGGGAAATTTCAGATGGGCAAATATCATATGTTTAATTGATTACCCTAAAACTAGTCAACACCGGGCTGTTTTCTTATTAGGGTCCGTCCTTCAAAATCGAGAAAAATAGTGTTTATTGTTTTTCATTATATAAGGTGTTTGAATTTAATATTGGGGGAAGATCCGAAATCTAGTTTTTGGCAATATGTCAATTAGATTCTAAAAAGGAATTTAACCGATTTTGAAATAGAAAAAGGTGTTAATTTAATATTAGGGGAAGATCCAAAATCCAATTGTTGGCAATATTCTATGTAGAATTTAAAACGGAAATGGTATAATCGATTTTGACATATAAAAGTTTTGTTTTCTTTATTTTATTTTTTTGGTGGAACCTTCAAAATCACCAATTTGGCAATATTTTAATCAAATGTTAAAAAGGATTTTAATTGATTTTGACATAGAACATTTTAGTTGTGTTTATTATATTATATCAGGTTCGTAATTTAATATTATAGGGGAAACTTTGCACCCTATATACTGTACTAGGTTTTTGCTCCAGCTCCAAAATGTAACAAATAGCCAGGAAAAGTGCCCCAGACTGAAAAACTAAATAAAAACAAAATCCCGAAACAAATCTGCATCCATTTATACTTTGGTGAATTTTGGTGCTAAAAATTGCCATTTGCACTGTTCGCCGATTTTTCCATGGTGTTCATTGATTACCCATTTTTTTCATTGAATTTGCCATGGGTTCAATTGTTTTTTCCATGGTTTCGATCGATTTTTCTATGCATAACATGCAACTGGTGAACATGTAGAATATAGGTTGAAGCACAACCGTGTTGGGTCTAAATAGTGACATTGGATGCTATCATAGTGTTGGTTGGTTTAGGGTTTATTTAGGGTTAGGGTTGGTTGTTGGTTTAGGTTTTATCAAGAGCTATTTAGAGTTGGTTTAGGGTTTATTTACAGTAGATAGATTAGATAGATTAGATAGATTAGACAGTCTGGACAGTTTGGATCGGTAGATAGATAGATAGCTAGATAGCTAGATAGCTAGATAGCTAGATAGATAGATAAATAGATAGATAGATAGATAGATAGATAGATAAAGCATTGAAAAGCCACACAAGCCACACACCCACAAAAGCCACAAAGCCAAGCTGGAAAACAAAAACACACAAAAAAAAATCAAACAAAAATCACAAAAATCCTCAAACAATAGCCCACCATACTAAATATTGTCAAACAATAAACACTACCCTTAGGTTTAAATATTTTGTGGGGTGAGTTTTAGTATCAGGGAAGGGACTAGACGGGAATTCTTGGCACAAACACTTTAGACCTCATGGCACAACTCCAAGATTCAGACTTCACTTCCTTCAGGGATCCCTACTCTTGACTGCAAAACCCTCGGATTCTTGCAAAATAATCTGTCAGAATCTAAGGCTCTAAGGCCCCAAGCCCCCAAGTAAGTCAGTAGAGTATAGTGACTACCCTCTGGTAATTTAACATGGCTATTGAAAATGGCCATTTATGGTGGATTTACCCATTAAAAATTGTGATTTTCCATAGCTATGTTAAATTACCAGGGGGTATAGTGGTCCATCACCCCAGTTTTGGCCCCAGTTCGGTCCTACCCCACCCGCCTTGCAGCGCCTCAAGGCACGGTGTAGAGAAGCCGTCCCAAGGCCATGCATCTACCATGGCGGCAGCGCAACGGTGTTCCGTTGATCACATGGCGCGATCCACAGCAACGTTGGGAACGTTGGGAACGAAACGAACCTACAGAGCCTGAGAACTGAAAAGGGGCTCCGGATGGCTCCAGCCTTGATGTTGAAGGTAAGGCAAATCCTTTGCTTTACAACGCCGCACTCGGTTTTGATCGTTTCTTCCATCTTACTTGCCTTGTTTTCTTCAGGCGGACCTACCGCGTTTGCACCCAAGCAGTAGCTCAGTCTGTTCTTGGTGGTTTCTTCAAGTTTTTTTGAAGCCCCAAACAGCAGCCATATATAGAGGAGAGATGGGCGGAGATGGGAGAATTATAGAATCATCATACTCCCCATAACATTATCCTGATTTTGTTCAAATTATCAATCTTCAAGCATATTCAAACTCTCTAACAGGCTGATATAGACAGTATTCCCGACTACTAAATTAAGAATGATGCCATAGTTTTCCCTGCTTTCGATCTCCGGAAACATTATGGCTACGTCTGGTACTTTGGGATCTTTCAAATGTGGCAAAATGTTCCTTCCTAAATTTAGGGTTTAGGGCACCCCATTTTCAGACCACCCCTACTCTTGAAAACGTTGCGCCTTGGCGTTGTAGGCTTCTGTGATGGCATCCTCGTCGGCAGATTGAGCAAAACGATGAGCGCTGGAGCGCTTGAAACAAGGGCAGCGCTGTCCTTGCATCTATACTATTACTGTATATATGTATTTAGTACATATGTATATATATATATATACATAATATCAAAACATATCAAAACACAGTGTTTATCTATCTGATTACAGCTGACCTGTTGGTCTACTGGTTGGCGGCTCGAACTCCATAAAATTGTGAGCTACTGGTCAGCTGGTTAAGCATCCCAATGGAAGAGGATTACAACATATTACAACTACGTAAACAATATAAACATATATATATATGTATATATGTATATATATATGTATATATATATATATAAATAAACCAATACTGTAACCAGTAAATATGGCCAAATAGTGCTAAATATCATACCATTTCTGGTTGGTAATCAGCTTTCTCGGCAGTTTCTGTTTGATCACTCAGGGCCCCAACCCCTCCCCCCTCCCAAAAAAAACAATTGGCTGGTTTCAAGCCCCTGAAAAAATGAAACCAGCAACCAGTACCTCTTCTGGTTCAATTCCATCTTTGTGTTTTCTGATCCACCAGTTGTTAATCCAAAATAAGCTGAACAACCAGAAAAAACGCATAGAAAATCTATTTTTTCAAATGATTTTTTTTTTTTCCCGTATTTCAACCTTGATTTCACCGATTGTTTCACCCAACGAGTCAAAAAATCAACCTCTTCCAGGGCCTTCAGCTTGGTCTCCAGCTCCACCCGGCCATCTGGCTCAAAGAACGTCCAGTTTCCAGATATAGATATAGATAGAGAATGATAGAGATTATATCCTGGAAACTATCTATCCAGTTTTCATATTTTAGATTATGTTGGTACAATTACTGTGTATAATTTCCAATATTCCAAATATCGCATATGATGCTATGTGCCAAGCAAGGATCTCCAAGGTATCTTGGATTTTATTGGAACTGAAAACGATATATTAGAACCTCTGAAACTGCGATGACATGACGCTAGTTTTCACGGAGGACGGGCGATGCAAAGTCCCAAAGCCACCAATTGCGTCTCGAGGTCAGCGAATCATCCATGGTGCTGTTATATATGGATCAATACCTATACCATTTTTAGGGGGATGAACATCCATAAATCCCAGCTATTTTACCATGTTCACCAGGGGGATATGGCTATGTCTCCCAACGGGCGCCTGGGTAGGCTCCGGCATCTCTTCGTTTCATGAAACGCTCCACCTGGCGTTCAAAATCTCGAGGGGGATGGCTCAGTCCATTGGAAGTCTCGGCATCTTGGATTTGAAAAAAAAAGGGCATCAGTGAAGAAGACAGATATTCCCTGTAGATGCTGCTACTGTCTCATCAAACATTAGTAAACAAGATAGATAGATAGATAGATAGGTAGATAGATAGATAGATAGATAGGATAGATAGGATAGATAGATAGATAGGATAGATAGGATAGACAGGATAGATAGGATAGATAGGATAGATAGGATAGATAGATAGATAAATAAATAGATAGATAGATAGATAAATAGATAGATAGATAGGTAGATAGATAGATAGATAGAACGATAGATAGATAGATAGATAAGATAGATAAGATAGATAAGATAGATAAGATAGATAAGATAGATAAGATAGATAAGATAGATAAGATAGATAAGATAGATAAGATAGATAAGATAGATAAGATAGATAAGATAGATAAGATATATATATATATATATAGATAGATAGATAGATCGATAGATAGATAGATAGATAGACAAATAGATAGATAGATAGATAGATAGATAGATAGGTAGGTAGATAGATAGACAGATAGATAGATAGATACATAGATAGATAGATAGATTAGAATAGAATAGATTAGATTAGATAAGATAAGATTAGATAAGATAAGACTAGATAAGATAAGATTAGATTAGATAAGATAAGACAAGATTAGATAAGATTAGATAAGATTAGATAAAATAAGATAAGATTAGATTAGATTAGATACGATTAGATAAGATTAGACTAGATTAAATAAGATAAGATAAGATTAGATACGATTAGATTAGATAAGATTAGATAAGATAAGATTAGATAAGAAAAGATAATATTAGATAAGACAAGATAGGAAAAACTAGATTCGATTAGATAAGATAAGATTAGATTAGATTTAGATAAGTAGATATAATATAGATAGATGTAGTATAGATGGATTTAATATAGATAGACATAATATAGATAGATATAATATAGATAGATGTAATATAGAAAAATATAATATCGATAGATATAATATAGATAAATATAAATAATTATAGGTAGATATAATATAGATAGATGTAATATAGATAGAAATAATATAGATAGATATAATTTAGATAGATATAATAGAGATAGACATAATATAGATAGACATAATATAGATAGATATAATATACATAGATACTATATATATATAATATAGATAGATATGATATAAATAGATATAATATAGATAAATATGATATAAATAGATATAATATACATAGATATAATATAGATAGATACAATATAGATAGATAGATAGATAGATATAAAAATGATAGATATAATATAGATATAAGATAGATAGATAGATAGATAGATAGATAGATAGATAGATAGATAGATATATAGATAGATAGATAGATAGATAGATAGATAGATAGATAGATAGATAGATATAAAATTGATAGATAGATAGATAGATAGTTTAGACAGTTTGGATAGATAGGTAGATAAATAGATAGATTAGATAGATTAAATAGATTAGATAGATTAGATAGATTAAATAGATTAGACAGATTAGATGGATTATATAGATTAGATAAATTAGATAAATTAGATAGATTCGATGGATTAGATAAATTAGATAGATTCGATGGATTAGATAAGATTATATCAGATTAGACAATATAAGATAAGATTAGATTAGGTTAGATTAGATTAGATAGATTAGATAGATTGAATAGATTAGATAGATTAGATAGATTAGATAGATTAGATAGATTAGATAGATTAGATAGATTAGATAGATTAGATAGATTAGATAGATAGATTAGATAGATTAAATTAAATAGATTAGATAGATTAGATAGATTAGATAGATTAGATTAGATTGGATTAGACTAGACTAGATTAGATTAGATTAGATTAGATAGATAGATAGATAGGTTTATATGTACGTACAGTCCCACGGGAGTCCCCCACCTTACGTTCCCGGTGGCTCAGCCAGGCCTCTAACATGACACCTTCCAGCTTCTCCCGTGCTTCCATCTGCATAGATTCAGCCTGGCCGGAGACCTTTTTGAAATGGATGGATTCTTGTTGCTGATTCCTGACTTCTTGTGTATATATATATGATTCTGATGTATATATGTATATATGTATAATAATATATATGTATATGTATAATATGATATATATATTATTATTATTGTTATTATTATTATCATTATTATGTATCTATATAGCTATATCTTGTTAATGTTATATTCATTCACTTCATATCGATGAATCGCCATGTTCAGGGTCTCCGTCTTGCCTTATTTCTCATCGACTGGGAAACGGAGCAAGGAATTTGATTACTTGGATAGGCACACGCAAACAACACAGAAGCTGCAGCAAATGATGGTGACCCTCGAGGCAGCAAACGTGGCCGGGAAATCCCTATCTTTTATCGGAAAGTAATGTGTAATTATAGATTTGGAAATGTCAAGCAACACTGAAAATTCTGGAGAGGGTAGGTAGGAAACTGCACCATGCTGTGCCCGGCCTTTTGCTTCGCCTCCCTCTCTTCCTCCCTTTTCCAGTGGATGCTGCGATTGTTTTCCGCCTCGATGCCAGGCAACTTCGAGTGATTCGCAACAAAACTGTTTGTTTGGCGCTTGTTCGCACGAAATAAACTATGACAAAACTGTTCGAAGATATCGCAAGGATCAGGCAACGACATTTTGTGCCGGATTGTGCCGCCGCCGGCCTGAATCTTCAATTTACATCATTTCTTCTATATATGTCTTGTCTTCTTTGGGTCGGTCCAAATCTTCAATTTACATCATTTACAAACTTCAATCAACGTAGAACGCCAGGCCAAGAACTGTGATATCCATCTTACGATTTTTCTATACTTTGATATTCTTCCAGGTCAAACCCAGGTCAAACACATTTTGAATAGTAGCAGCTTGGCGCACGCCCCTGGCATTCTGAGGTTCTCACCAGGTCCCGCAGTCGCTGCCTCGTGGGTCAAATCATTGAGTTTTCCGGGATATATATACAATCATCTGTTGTGCTGGGAAGTCCATGATTTTGACCCCCGCATTTCATCGGGGACACGCGATGTCTGTAACCACGAAGCAACAACACATGATTATCTATTTCAGCATCAGACATCATTCAAACAAAGATATGTTTGATCAACATCCTGCTTGTTGAATGGAACATGATCGATAAATGACACCACAAAACATATTGTAGCACCAAACCATATACCATTTGTAGTAATCCATGATATCCCATATGTGACTATTAAATATCCCATGATATACCTGTATTAGCAAACCATATATCATATATATATATATCATTGTATCCAGCTAATCCAGCTATATTCCAACACATACTGTGAATACATACACATTTCATACGCATGTATATCCAAGTGCGCTTATGCTTTACAGCAGATTGCAGCCACCAAATGGTAGAAACACTGTATGTGTAGCATGGTCATTCATTCCAGAATGCGCCAAGCTTGATGGCTATGGCCATGAAAATTATGTAAGATGGCTACCCCCTACTCATGGGTTACTGTATTTTAATCCAACGCTTGACCATGGTGTATGTGCACTGTGACTGTCACCCCATTTGCTACAGCCAAAGTTAGTTACAGTAAATAATATCCCCATGATCTTCCCAATTTTTTTTTTCCCTATGACCCTCTGGTTATTTAACAGTCTGCTATGGAAGCCATGGCCCATAGAAATAGAGGATTCAGTTCGATGATTTACCGAGCAAGACTAAGAATGGATTTTCTAGTTCGCTCAAAAACAAGAAATCCAGTATTCAGTGGATTAGGGGACAAATTACAGGAAACCCCTATATTTCATGGTAAAAAACCATGGTTTCCGGTTCAGATTTTCCCAAGAAAACCAATCCAATTTTTAGTATATATCTGAAGTATCTGAAGTATCTGAAGTAGCCCTAAATCATCCACTTTACATAGGATTTTCCTGGGATTTTCCATTCTCCAGCCTCCATTTTAGACGGGCTATCCCGGTACCATGGAAACCCCACCTGGCCGGCAGAATCTCCTCATGTCCGAGGCCGACCTCCTGGATCGAGCGACAGTATGTAGATGTATATAGTATATAGATGTATATAGTATACTATACATAGTATGATATAAGTCATATATATATATGTCATACGCATGTTTATATATATATAATTATATCTGAATATATTTTTATAAATATATGTATATCATATATTATATGTACACAATCACCAAATGCAAAACTCACGAGGAATTGGCCATCACCAGATGTTGATTTGTTTCGTACCTCCATGCTTGTTTTCATCTGTCCACTTGCAGTAGTCTTGATAGGTTTTGAGCCTTTCCTGAAGATAGCGTGTCCCACATCCGTCGACAGTCCCTGTCAGCAACTACTGATAGGAACCCTTGATCCTTGTATATACAGTATTATTCAATATATATACATTTAATCATTCTAGACTGAATGGGTTTAAATGGTAAATAGAAGTACCTGTCAATACCAGGGATTCCTGACTTTTTTTTGGAAAAGTCACCCAATGACATACTTCTCCCGCCTCGGCTTTCCAAATCCATTCCTCCACTTCACGCATGCGTTGGGAGCTCAACGCTGCCTGCCAGGAGGGTCCATCAAAAGTGGTGACTCAAATGAGCCGTCCAAAAAAGGGCCCGGCATTCATCAACAAATTAAACGTGGACAAACGTTTTACAATATTGCATACATGATTACATGATGAGTAGATTATATGTCCAAGCAATCTCCAGTAGCGATATTCTCACTACAGTAGTAACGGTTTTGACTGTACGAACAGCTGAGTATCAGGAATCTTTGCGTTTCTAAATCAGGATGATGCAAGTTTCACAACCAGTGACCAGTCGATTTATGCGTTCATCTTACTGGTAATACCATCCGATAATCAAACATGTTCATGTAAAATACACCATGTATGGATCATTTTCTCATTGAAAGCTAGGGATTTTCCAACACACTTGGTGATTCTATGGTTCGAGAGAAACATCACCAACATATTGTTTGGTTCATCAACAAAAATTCTATAACAAACATTAAATCACCTGGATGTTGACTAAGGAGGATAAACTATTCACTGACCTGAAATAAAGCCAATTATTGGGACGATTCGCTATTCACTAGACTATTCGTCATTCCATTGACGTCACGACGTGAGCTTATTATCATTCATTAATTGCAAGTTTGTTGATGTTCACCCCAGTTATTCAATATTTCTTTTCTATGTAAGAAAAAACAAACACAATTACCAAGCAACCAAAAGGAATCAAAGAACGACAACAACAACAACAACAACAACAACGACAACGACAACGACAACGACAACAACAACAACAACAATAAACAACAAACATCAAACAACAAACACTCACCCTGGATGTTGATGAATGGTGTAGACCTCAACCAACATCTGGAGGGCACCACGTCTCGCCATTCCACAAATGCGCCTCACGTCCCAAAGGTCCCAAGAGGGCACTGATGGACTCAACTTCCTCGCATCCTCCGGCAATCTGCTGGTGCTTGCCATGGCTTCAGAAAAACAAAAAAAAAAACATATTTTAGGTGATCAGAATCAACCCACATAAATCTATGTAAAAACCATTACAAAAAAAACACATATAAAATCCATATAAAATCCACCATTTCTTGCGTGTGTGTGTCTGTGGCTAAAAATATGAGTGGCTGACAAAATTACTTACTACCCGCAATGGACATGGCCAAAGTGGGTGGTCCCCTATCGGTTGTGAAGGTTTGTACTTCCATGCTGTGTGTAAAAATGGGGTATCGGTAAGTGGGTGGTCCCCTATCGGTTGTGAATGTTTTCGTACAAATTTGAACATCCCATGTCCAGCCCCCACTACTTTAGTTTTCCGCTAATTTTGTCGGTTACTCATATGAGTAGCGGACAAAATTATATGTTAAATTTAATGCCATGCGCAAATTGTAGAGTCGTCCCCTATCGGTTGTGAGGATTTCAGTGTTGCCGGAGGTATCACCAATGGATACAAATGGGGTATCGGTATAGTGAAGGTCTCGTGCAACCTCCGAAAGGCCAAGGCGAAGCAAGACTAAATTAGTATTACAATATTACGATAATTTGGTTGGTTACTCATATGTTCTTGGTATAATTCCATCAAAATCCTCGATTTCTGTTGGTCAAACACCATATGTTTGATGATGGCTTGAATATTTTGTTGATGCTTGATCATGGAATTCCTATAGTCTTAATATAGTTGTGATATGTTTCTATATATATTTTCTTGGCACTATCATATCTGGTTGGTGGTTCAACCCCTCGGAAAAATATAAGTTCGTCAGTTGGGATGATGACATTCCCAATATATGGAAAGTCATAAAAGCCATGTTCCAAACCACCAACCAGTGATTATTAACCATCATTAACCATGATTAAACATCATTAACCATCATTAACCATTATTAACCATCATTAACCATCATTAACCATTAACCATGAACCATTAACTTGCCATTAACCATTATTAACCATATATATTTTGATCTTCTTTGGCACCATGGTCCCACCTCTCCTGCCGCCACCGACGGCCCACGCGGGTCACGCGGCCCACGGGTCGGCGTCGGATCCGCGACGTCCGCCGGATCCGCCCAGGGGTCCCATGGCTCCATGAGTTTTCAATGTGAAAAAAACAAACCAAACACTCAATGGATTGGTTTAAGGGAAAATCTACAGGAAACCATAGATTTTCCCATTAAATATGGGGCTTTCCTGTAAATTTTCCCTTAAACCAATCCATTGAAACAAACAACCAGCTAAGCATCCATAGATAGATATCGATATATCCTGCTAGTTGTGATAAGTTTCTATTCTGAAAAAAACTTTTTTGGTTTGCTCATAAAATCCCTGATGTGTCCGAAGTGTGTGGGTTTTCTGTCAGTTTGTTGGTGTTTGTTGTCCTTTTTTGTTCGCTTTGTTCGATCTTAATCGTCTGTCTCAGTCTGGTTTCATACATCACGTCTTGCGTGCATCTGATGTCCATCTTACTAAATGATTAATGTTTAATATTATCCAATGGTTAATATTACTGGCCCGATGGTAAATATCATTAATATCGAATAAGTGTATGTAATGATCACTTACTATTATATAATCGTTGGATCATTCACCACCAACCACAAGATCATTTTAACCGAGCATATCTAAGCATAATATCTAATAAGTTCACAAATATCTATATAATAAATCTATATAATATCATAATATCTAGCATATCATAATATCATATAATATCTAAGCATAATATCTAATAAACAAATATGGAATGATAATCTCCTGATTTTTTGCCAGGTAAAAATCTGGACCTCTGGACCTCTGGACCTCTGGACTTGGATTGATTCACAAAATGTCCAAGTTTTTTTTCATGGAAAGTCCCATTGAAATGGATGATTTGGGGGAAACTCCCACGATTTCAGTCATAAACATTAAAAAATGATGCCATTTTATGGGAATTTCACAGGATTGAATCATTTTCATTGATCGATTGATTGATGGAAATTGCAGAAATTGGCTGTGTACCTTAGGTACCTAAGGCACCTGAAGACTGGCGATGCGGTACACAGTGATGCCTCCCAGTGACAAGTTTATAACCCCCATAGTTATCTGGTTGGTGGTTTTAACATGTTTTAACCATCTTGAACAAACATTAGTCAATGGGAAGGATTATTCTTATGGAACATAAAAAAATATTTGAAACCACCAACCAGTTATAATAATCTCAACCCTGGTTAACCCTGTGAAGTTTTAAACTAACTTAGCTAGTTCTTTGCTAACTATGGGGCACCACCTGGTAAATGCTTTGTTGGATCCTGCATGGTCTTGAGATGTCTTGAGTCTTGGATAACAGGTTTTGGCTCCATTTTTTCGGTAGTGTTGGTGGTGACAGTGGTGAAGTGTTTGGTGTCAAGATCTTTTTTGTTGGTCCCTGAATTGCCCAGGAGAACTTTCAGATGGTATCCATTGGGATCTTGCAACGAAGCTGGGTCAAAAAGGTCCAGGTTTCAACTCACCAGGTTTCTCCCACGTTTCTGATGCTCGGAGTGATGACGTCTGCTGGATTTATTTAGAAGTCTACTTTTTAAGACCCTGGTGCCATATTATGCCAAATTAAATAATATGTATAATAATTACATATCTATAATATCTGATTAACGTCTTTGGGCAACATCTTCTGAAGATGCGATTGCTGTTGCCAGTTCGCAGGTAATCAATACCAGCTCTTCACTGTTGTGGCCTGAGGGTTGGCATACCCTTTGCTGCGGCACATCTGTATGATCTCCCGATAAAAGTGTGTCTCCTGCAACGAGCAGCAACACACAAGACTCAGTGCAGCTACATGTGCTTAGGAAAACTGAACAGGCAATGTATTATCCCTTTGTCCAAAGAATGGATATCTCCAAAAGCAACTGGTCCATTCACAATACTCACCATCAGATGATCATTAACTGCATCAACCCATATGCGGCATATGCGGTGCATTGCAGCGTCTGATGCCAGTGTGTTACAGTAGTTTCTGGCTTCAGGCAGTCTGTTCCTCCTCCCCATCTGGGATTTCTTCCACTGAACCGTCAAATACGAAAAGCACCTTGCCCGCTGAACGGCTTTTGGGAAAGGTGTGGAGTCGACTACAATCCATGAATGCCCTTCAAATGACTCCTCCGAAACAACACACGCACAAAAGCAAATGTGAAAAGAACAACAGCAGCTAGGAAGAAAAGAAAGCTATGCACTGAGTGCACCGAAAACCAAAAGTCCAAGAAAGTCATGCTGGGCTTCCAGCTGCATGTGGCTGATTGTTCAGGCTCTTTCCGTTTGCCAGTATCTGTTGCGCGGTGGCGGCTTGGGATTTGCACCACCGGACACATCCACACTCCGCAGCCGGCCAGCAGCTGATGCCCAAGCCCACCAAACACATAGCGAACCTCTGGCGGAAAGAGCTCAGAGTCCCGCTTCCAGAACTCCCAAAGGAGTCTCGCATACCTCATGGTGGCAACCCAAGGTCCCGAGCCACAAATGGCCCCTTTCCATTGGAATTCTATACATCTGGTGTTCATCAACCCCACCCAATCATACTTTGAGAATGTTTTCACTAATCAGAAATCCCATGAATAGTCAATTTCATGCACATTGCAAGGAGAATATGTTCAACATGTTCCCACTAGAAAGTGAAGCTATTCATGCATGCGAGAAAACCATTCTATCATCAGATATACATCCCATTCATACCATGGTAGTGAAGCTAGTAATCCCATCGAACATATGATAGTAATCTGCTGTGCTAAGATTCAGATTCACCCTATGAACATCATCCCATTCATCAATCATTACTCCTATTGAACATCTCATGTTTTTTTTTCCGGCCGCAGGCAGTAGCGGCCTATAGTTTCGCTGCTGCACCATACAATCGTCCTTGACCTGTCCGTCCTGGTCCATGGGTTGAAAACCACCCATTGAACTGTGGGATTATTTTAGCGTCTACCACATTATGATATTGTCATATCTATCTCTCTCTATATATATATATATTAATCTATCTATCTATCTATCTATCTAAAAAATATAATACAGTGCATCAGATGAAAAATACAGAGATATAGGCGATATAGGTATGTAACATAGATTGTGAACAATGTTGAGACACATATTGTGACTGCATTTTCAGCGGAGCCCCGGTCCATGATGACGCTCAGCTGCTTCTGCTCGCGTTCCTCAGCTGTGGCGATGATCCAAACATATCCAAACATGGGCGGTGGATTTCACCAACATCCGTGGGAGGCAAGAAATAAAACGACATAATGGGGTATGATTGAAAGTAATATAATGTAATATATGTCATAATATATGTATATATATATATATATGTAATGATTGTGGGATATAACTTGCCAACAATCTGATGATTGATGTCTCTGAATATGTCGGATAACACCCCCAAATTGGTGAATTTGAGAGGAAACATGAGGTTTTGAACCATGCAAATATGGGGGTACCCTATGTTCAAACAAACTGATGTTGATCTTGATATTGATTTTGCTATGTTTGGTGTTGTTGATCTTGACATATTTGATATGTGATGAGGGTAATCATTGAATCATGAGGATAAAGACGATAATACATGATAATACTGTGCTGAAGCTGAACATAAAGATTAACATCATCATGATCATGAGAAAGGCAATAACGATGACGACTGTATCACCATTTTGCTTCATCCCGAGTGTGGTTGAAAATGCTGTTCCTATGTTAGTTTACCAGAGGGTATACCACTAATGTAATACTACTGGACTAACCAAATGTTTATATCACACATCACTGATATAGTAATATACAGTAAATATATTACTGGTTGGTGGTTTTAACCATCTTGAAAAAATATTAGTCAATGGGAAGGATTATCCCATATATTATGGAAAATAACAATTGATTAAAACCACCAACCAGATTAATATAGAAATATAACACCATTCTATAACGTAATCAAATTTCGTATATATAGGTACAGTATATATTATAGTTAATAAGCATTATTAGCCATTATACACAATTAATAACAACTATTAATAATCAATCATCACTGTTCATGACCACTAGCTATAATATATAATAGTGATTAATAATGTGGAATAACTATCAATACGTTATAATTAATCACCAATTGCCAATTACAATCATCACTATTAATAATCATCTTATCACCATTCATAGTGATAGTACTTACTTCATCAGTGTCAACCGTGATCACCATGAATTAACTACTAATGAAGATTATTCATCTCCATCATTTTTTTACTAACGTCAATCATTATATAATCACCCTTAGTGACTATCATTATCAATTGATCTGGGTAAATTATCATATTTCACTAACCTGAATCTTGCGGCCATTTGGGGATGATTTCCCTTATTCACTATGATTTCCAGTGAGGGAGAACAGTGAGGTGGTTATAATTTACCCAGATTGATCACAAACTGAACTGTTGACAGTACAGGACGCATCTCGACCACCTCCTGGGTACCCCGGCATCCATCCAGATCTGTCCGCGCGTATCGTGGCACATGATGGAAGACCTCGGAACCGTCGTCACGGACAAAGGTCACGGCGTTAGGGCCATGAAGTTCTCTTTATTTCCTGGGAAAAGTGGGGAACATGAGTTGAAAAGTATGGAAAAGTGATCTTTCGCCAGTCAACTTGTTTTTTTTTCCATTGACCATGGAAATAGAGATCTGAACAACTTTCATAGAATGTCAATGATTGATTTTCCAGGGAACATGAAAACATGTTTCTTCCCGAAGAAAATCAATTGTTTTGGTAAATTGAGCCAATTCTGCAATGGCCTAATCATTCTGATCATCGGCATGGGTCCCCGATATCTGATCCGAACAGTGACACAAATTTGATTTTGAGATTAAGGCCATTTCAGGAACCTAAATTGGAGGTACCTACCATATATAAGGCCTATGTAAGGCTTATGTAAGGGAATATCCCCACAAAATATGGCCTTATATGGTACAGTACCTCCATTTTAGGATCCTGGAATTCCCATTGATTATCTGAATATGTTTATAGTGCATATCCCATAGGATCCATGGTGCTGCTATATATGGTAACATGGATCCCATCAATATACCCCCTTTATGTGAGCATATACCAGCACCAGCCGGATCCGTCAACCGGGTATGATGAATTGGGCACCCGCTTTTTTTGATCCGTCGTTTCGTGCGTTTCGTTTTTATCGAGGTGAATCGGCATCTGCCAAGCAGCGATAGAATGTTGCCACGATGATCGAGCTTTGCCGGTTTGATGACCTCGGTGACTATAGATGACCCCCATTAGTTGGCTAAAAATGGTAGATGATGTAGCCTCTGGTAAACATTAACAAAAAACTATGGAAAATCACCATGCTATTAATGGGAAAATCCACTATTTCTATGGTCATTTTCAATAGCTATGTTAGTCATTACCAGAGGGTAGATGTATCTGTAGTCAATGATGTCAATGGTTGTAGACCAGGACTGGCATCTCCTCTAAGCAGCAGGCAGCGGAGACATACTTCAAGGTGCCCTCATTCATGGCGGTGTCCTTGACGATAATCCTGCACTTGCAGACACACTGTAGAAACTTGACTCAAGACAATGTGGCTACGACTCAAACATGAGACAATTCATTGGATTGGTTGAAGGGAAAACAACATATCCATACATATCCCAAGATTTCATGGGGAAAACATTGGGAAAACCCATGGATTTCCGGTGAAAAACTGTTCCCTGAAAAACCAATCAGGCGAGGCATCGGGTTCCGATGCTTCGCCTGGGATAAGGTGTATTAATGTTGTAAACCATGGTAACCCCAACAAAAAACTAACAAAAAAATACCATGAACCTCTTTGTTGGGGATTGTTGATTATTAGATTTACCACATTGCATCACATCACTATGCATAGTAGGGGGAGACCTCGAAACTTATAACCCCATTGTTGGTTGTTTTTGTTCCATAATTCCTCCCTTACCATGGCCGTAGTACCTTTTGTAACATCACAACCGGTTGGAGTCAAATCCCATACGGCCAAACTCAGATATATTAATATATTGATATTATATGATATATATATATATGGCTTTTTCAGGGCTGCTTAGGGGCTACATCTCCCGGTATGAAGGACAACGTCTTGCTATTTTTCACCTCAGGGAAAGCCCTGCTGACACACCCTGACCCTGACCCTGGCCTCTCCGCAAAATCTGGCGGCACCTAGCAACAATCCCTTCAAGGCCAGACTCTTTCCTGTTGTCCCATTGTTTCCCCATTGTATTCCAAGATAAACTGATTGGTGGTTTCAACCCCTCTGAACAATATGTTTAGTCATGCAGTTGGGATGATGACATTCACAATTAATATGGAAAAATAAAAGCCATGTTCCAAACCACCAACCAGTGACTATTAACCATTATTAACCATTATTAACCATTATTAACCAGTATTAACCATTATTAACCATTATTAACCATATATTTTGATCATCTTTGGCACCAACCAGTACAGTAAACAGTTACTTGATATCCAAAAAACTGTCAGCTCTCTGAAGTCTTGCGCTGCTTCCCGAGATTCGTCAGGAAAGACTCCAACATACTCCCGCAGCATCTAAAAGGGCAAATCAGAAGCAGTCTGATTTCATGTTACTCTCTGGTAATCTAAGGTTGCTATGGAAACCCAAAAAAAAACGCAGTTCGGAAATCGCATCAATCCAGAAACGGATACAAACGGTCCGCTATCCATAGCTATGTGAGATTGCCACAGGATATACGCCCATTTTGGAGCATTTTGGGGTGATTTCCACAACCCTAACCATCATACATACCCTGTGATCAAACATGGCAACTCAAATTTTAGTTTGATAGTGATCTTCCCATTAAAACCTCCCAGCAGCCCGCAATGTTTGATGACACTAGACACTAGAGGGTGAATGTGGTGATCTGACATTTACCCAGACAACATTCCCCTGTCCAGCACAGCCACCTGCTGCGTCTTGTGGAGGGCCATGTAGAAAGTGCGAATCAAGCTGCTCTTTCCACTGGCAGTGCGATCGCAGTCAGGTTTCCAGAAAAAAAATGGGATGTGAACCAGCAGAACCTAGAAATCATCCGAATATGACCCTGGATTTACAAGGAGTTGGTGCTCCGTGCCTCACTCGTTTTCATCAAGAATGGGACACTTGCCAGCCATGGCAAAACACAGCCATTCGTTATAGCCGTGAACCCTTTGGGAGACGGGTCCCTGGGTATCTTCAAATTGGGGGCATGGCAATGTGGTCCCCCCCATCCAAAAATGTCTGACAATAGGCTACCCCAAAATATGTTGATATTTTCCCATATTATCATATCTTCCCTTTAATTTAGATGACCAACTTGTCGTAAGTAATATACTAATATACCGCACACCATTGAATTTTGCGACACAGATGCTCTGCCCGCCTGCCACTTGGCCCAAAGATCAGCACATCCGCATGGCCAGGCAGGCCTGGCAGAATCCGCCCAAGGGGCCGTTTACGAACCAGGCATCCCATATGGCGAATCCATGGGCGGTTAAGAACAGTCATTGGAGCTTGTGGATCAGATTGGATCAGTGAAAGTAGGGAAAAGTATGGAAAATCCTGCCCTGCCAGACATGGTTTCCGGGAAAATCCCAAGTTTTAGAATCTTTTTTGAGTCATAGAGATCAAGAAAATCCATGAGAAACCTCCAGTAAACATGGCAGAGGAAAATCCTAAGCTTCGGGAAGAACCGTTCTCACAAAGATCAAGAACATCCATGAAAAACCCATTGAAATCCCAACAAAATGTGGTGAGAAATCCATTCCCAGATTCTTCATAGCGCCTGCAGACTCCGCTGTCGTACCAGAACAGACCTGCGTCGCTGTGTGCAGTATGCATTAAAAATTGATAGCCTCGGGTAGTCAGACATTTCCCATTTTTGTGTTTCAAGAAATACGGTACACCATGTTACACATGTATATCCACAATTATCATCAATTATCCACATACGCATGCATAAACTCAATGCATTGGATAGTTACTAACTTACAAACCAAAAATGACCCGTGCTTGTCGTAGGTCAATACGACAGCACATGAATCATGGCATGGGAAAATCACTACACGGGAGATCCCCAACCGGATGCTTTTCCCAAGAAAAAGACACATCAATCGGGTCACAACTGAGGATCATTAAGGGGTCCAAACAATTTATATAGACAAATGTAATATACTGTATATATACAATTTATATAGACAAATGTAATATACTGTATATATATATGTAAACTTATGTAAATACATTGTAATAAAGCATGTAGTAATTATGCAATTCTCTTCGACGAGCATTCAACCATCTCATTGCTGTGATATGTTGCTGTTCAAAGATTTCAAAGTGCCCATTGACTGCATGTATCATCAAAAGCGTATCCCAGATCTGCGGCGTGAAACTTGCCATCAGTTGTTGATGATCTGGTGCTGAACTTCTGAACACTCATTTTTTTGGTGTTTCTTGTTGCAGTCAAGTATGCTTGTTTCTGTTATATATATATATACATATATATATATATGCATCAATGAAGTAATCACCCCCAAAATGATCGAAGCGATTTAACGAAAAGAGTTTTACCACTATTTTAGTATGATGTTTCTGGTGTATAATATATATATGATATATATATATATATGTATATGATATATATATATATATAATCACAATTTTAGTATATGTAGAATTTTTGAACAAATTCTATCTTTTGGGGGGCTTTTTGAAGCAAAGTCCCAGCTTGACGTCAACCGTGCCTTGAACTTGTTCAACATCTTTCTCATCTCCTCCACCTGGCGATAGCATCATGGGGATTTAACCTTAACCAATCCATGGGATTTTTTATCCATGGATAGATCTATGGGAATTGTCCTTAACGGTTAGTTGAGATGATTTAAGATGTATAGGTATTGTATAAGTATTGACGCAAAAAAAACAGTTATAGATGATAAAAAACACTAATCAAAACGATGATTGACCGATGATTGACCTAGCTATAAAATGGTGATTTTCCATATCTTGGTTATATAGCCAGAGGGTAATTGGTGTGTGACTGATCCAACATTGGAATTGTCTGGCCATATTATAGTGACCTCGCTGGCTAACAATCAGCATTGTTGAGATGTTTGGTGAAGGAAACTATTCCCCGAATGGGTTCATCACGGTTCATCTCTTGTTTTGGTTTTGCACTTAACTGGTATCGAATGGTATCCAAGATTTTTTTTAGCCAAACCATCGTTCGAAGATCTGATGCTGTGTTATTTTCCGACATGAACTTGTAGTGAGCTTGATTTCCATGCCTGACACAACAAGAATCCACTACTTTGGTCCTTTTTTTTGCATTAGATTCATTAGATTGTGCAGTTTGGTGGTCCCTAAAGTTTGAGTTCTGATTGGTTTCCTCCTTCTGCTCAGCAAGGACACACTATCATTTTGTTTGGGACAGCAAGGTACAAGTTACGGGTTTCTGTGAAAATGCGGTGTCCCAAAATTCGATGGTTTAGCATCATGGTTCCTACAAAATGGCATCCTTTTTTTTGCAGACACAATCAAGAATCACATATGTATGATTATTAGTTTTATCCTCATGACATATCCAATGTGTTGTTTTTCCATATTCAGACATATATCTATAGAATTGTTACATTGTCTGAACATTATGTGTATATATATATATACATACACACGTACATCATTAACTAACTGCATGGCATAATTATATTAATTCACTAAGCTGAACCTGCAAAACTCACGGCCATTTGGGAATGATTCGCGTATACATTCACCATCATTCCAGTCACGTCACGACGTGAGGTCGTTATAATTAATCCATATATATATATATATTATTTGTATATATATATAATATTTAATATTATATATATCCATATTAAATATACATATAAATAATAAATACATCCTATCTATCTATCTCTCTCTATATATATATATATATATGGTTGCCCTCTTGTTCTTTACGAGTTTGGTATGGAAGTCATGGCCATCCATGGCCCATTTATAGTGTCGGCACCTGATTCTCCATGATTGCAGCCATGGCCAGGGCGGGATCTGCTCCCATGCCTGCACTTCCGGATTTTCATGGGTCATCCATAGTCTTCTGAGGGATGACTGATGATAATCTATGATTTACTGATATCTAATCCACAATTTCAAAAAATGTACTATATAGATTTTATAGATTTACTATGACCGATGATATCTATGATTTACTTTTGGGCATCTTGAGGCTTGCTCTACACATGTTGAAACACGATTAACATGTCTGGTACCACGGAGTTTTACGTGAATTTAGGAACCTGATATCATCTGAATCCAACTGAAACATACTAGAACCACCAACCTAGAAATGATGGTGTGAACTGCCACTTAGAATTAAACAAATTGGATATTTTCCTGAACCCTGATAGAAATCAGCAAGATCTGGCTGGTCAAAATTGGAGTAGCAGCAAAGCCATTGACGTCTGGGTCCTTTTTAGTCTTAAACCATCAACGTCTTGGGTAAAAAAAAACATCAAAATCTAAGGCTCATCTTTTTGCACATCATCTTGGCTGAAAATTGCATGGTATCAAATGGTATCAAATGCAATATCGCCACAACTTCTGACTGGTTCACATGGCGGGTCTTAGATACCCTGCACAGAAGTCGCTAAGTACAAGTCCCAAACAAGTCGTTTTGTTTCCAAAAGATGAACATGTTAGTAACCAGTTTGTACAAAATACACAAATTTTAACCATTTATATATAGATATAGATATTTATAATATAGATTTTATATAGATATTATATATAATTATACACATCACAAACATGTTTTTCTTTTGCAGATTGCGGTCGGGCCCTCATCCGGAGGGCCTGCCGTGGCGGACGGCCTTGGGGGGCCCGCCTCCATGGCCTGTGTGGTTGATGACATACGCAACACATGGATATATATATATATATATATGTATATATATATATATGTATATATATAAACAGAACATGTTGGTTCAGAGTCCGATTTGATGTGGAAATGTTGGTTCAGAGTTGCCAAGCCCGTGTTTGGCTTAAGACTGGTGGGGGGGGGGGGGGGTGGTGCACGGCAAGGTGCTAAAATTTCAAAAATAGGTGCTCAAATTTAAGGAAATAGGTGTTTTTTTGAAGAAACCGGGTCGGGATCCAGTCGGGACCCAGTCGGGACCCAGTCGGGACCCAATCGGGCACCAATTTTTGCATTTTTGGGCACCGCTTTTGGCCAGTCGGGATCCAGTCGGGATCCAGTCGGGCACCAATTTTCGAATTTTTGGCACCACGTTTGGACCTGTCGGGAAGCAGCCAAAATCACCGAAAAACATGCAAAAACACTGCAAAAATGCTATTTTTTATGAATTTGGCTGCCTCCCGACATGGTGGACTGGATCCCGACTGGATCCCGACTGGATCCCGACTGGCCAAAAGCGGTGCCCAAAAATGCAAAAATTGGTGCCCGACTGGGTCCCGACGGGATCCTGACTGGATCCATAGATTGGCAAGAACCCACTCCCGCACCTATTTTTCCCTTCCCAGACCCACCCTTGCCCCTATTTTCCTTTTCCGCGCACCAGCCGTGCACCAATACCCCCCCCCTCCTGCACCAAAACGGTAAAAGCAGTCTTAAGCCAAACGGGGGTTCTACAAGTTCAGAGTCTGATTTCCATTTGATTTCATGTTTTTTTTTGTTAAATGCGATATTTTGTTGCGTTTATTTGATGTAGCCGTTGCAATAAATCCATGTTCATCTCCTGAGCCTTTCAGGAACCGAGACGATTGGATTCAACCAGTTGGCCCAGTTGGCCAGAAAATTTAGGGAGAAACCATCATTAACCATCATTATTTACTATGGTTAATGATGGTTAATGATGGTTAATGATGGTTAATGATGGTTAATGATGGTTAATGATGGTTAATGATGGTTAATGATGGTTAATGATGGTTAATGATTACCATAACATAACCAAGAAGGGAAACTTCATATGTTTCTTTACGCTGTATCCAACATGAATGCTCTGAAAATCCTCGAAATCGGTTGCGTTCCTGAAGCTTTCTGGTTTTCCAGACTTGCGGCATCAGTTTGCGGCTTAGCCAAACATGGCATAGCATGGCATAGCGACAATTGCAAGGCCACTTCATGATACCCTGCAGTAGTCCAAGCAGGCAATTCCTTCGTTGAATCCAATTCTGCTGATTTATCAATGGGAACATGAAGATGTTCCATAAAAAAATGGCTTGCTTACTTACAGCCAGTCTTAGATCATCAGTTCTGAAAAGACAATACGTATACTTATACTCTTCCCTTGATGTCTAGAAAAATAGAACCTGACAACATCTGACAACCTCCCCAACCAAGGTCTACCCAAGTACTCTCCCGCCCAGCAATGACCCCCGCCGGCTCAGGCATTGCGAAGACAGCGCTATGCGACAGTGGCGTTCAAAAGGGTTGACCAGTTAACTATGATCGTTTATGCATGGCAGGTATGTGAGTGTACAGTGTACTGTCATAACACCAAGAATTTCATGTCCAAACTAATTATTAATGATGTGGAAGTACATGACGGTGACAGCAAAATCCGACTTGCATCAAGGTCATAATCCTTCAAAGCATGTGTCCGTGCACGCGTTCCAATTTTCCTACTTGCATCATCTGTTGTGGAAAAACTGGTCGCATCTAGAAATGAAGCGAGCCTCGTGTCATCTTGTGGTGCGCATGTTTGCAGATTGCAGGATTGTCACGGAGGTCTTGAATGAGCCTGGAAAATAAGATGGAGCATGGGAGTCCACATTTTTCAGCTGTGACTGCCATAATCTCATCATTGTGTACAGCGTGACTGCAGAAGACCCACCCCAATCCCACTGCAATGGGCATAGACTCATAGACATGGTCCAATGGTCTACTTTGGGTTTATTGCTGGTTCAATTATATCATTATTGATGGTTTATTGGGTTTATTATTGATGGTTTATTGATTAATGGTCTACTTGAGGAAATTTCCCCAGTGCCCTGGAAGCTGCGGCCATTTCCACTGATCCTTCTGATCAGAAAGTCTGCGAACGCCCCCCTGGTGACCCTGGTGTCCAGTGGACTATTACATTACACTTATTCAAAAGCAGTTACTTATACACAAACACCATGTTTTACAATGTTTTACACAAAAAAAACATGTTCTTGCTGGGCCTGTGCAAGCGCTCTTTGCGGCTTGCAGGATAGCTCTTTCCCTGGTGGCCGCCTCTACTGGACACCAGGACGAAGACGCGAGGCCGCGCGACTCATTGCCGGTCGCGGCTGGAAAATGGAAACGTGGCGTTGCGTCGTCGCCAAGGCCGTCACCTGCAAAAGTGGTTGGTGACGAGATGTTAAGTGTTGATATGTGTTGATCATAGCCGGGAGATAACCAAACCTATAAATACTTCGTGTATATATATATATATAGTATATTATAATCAACAATAAAGGGTATGTTTATCAAAAACATGATGCTGATATGCTGGATGTGTGAAGCCACTTGCTCCGAGCCCTGATTGTGTTCGTCCACAAAGTGATCATGACCCCCATCACATTCGGGAAACTCACCGAGTCACAAACGAACGCACCAACCAAGCTTCATTGGATTTCAAGGATGCTGTGGTTGGGTAACTCTTACAGTAGTGGCCCCTTGGCTCCCTGTGTACTGGGCTGACTCAACAATTGCCAACATCCCAGAACTCGTCTGTGGGGATGATTCAATGACCCCTGAAACTCATGAAACTTCAATACACTTCCTTTCGCCTGAACATGACTTCCTCACCCCACAAGCAGACACACACACACATACATATAAATTATAATAACGTATGTATATAATAAGCATCACCATCACCATCACCATCACCATCACCATCACCATCACCATCATCATCATCATCATCATCATCATCATCATCATCATCATCATCATCATCATCATCATCATCATCATCATCATCATCATCATCATATATATATTATATATCATCTACATATAGATATTGTATTCAATACATGCGGAATGCTGAACAACATGCTAGTCAAAGCCGATTCGGTGCTGTGTAAATCTAAAATGGTTAGATATATGGAGCACACAATGACACCGGTGTGGCAGAAAGAGACATCACTCCCGACTCATTTAGCAGGGATCTCAACCAAATTCTGAGGTTTTGTTCATATCCCAAAATACAATCTGGTTATTTAACATAGCCATGGAAAATCACCATTCTTAATAGGTAAACCATCTATAAATGTGCCATTTTCCATGGCTATGTTAAATAACCAGAGGGTAGTTCAATTTCTTTCTGGACATATTACCTTAACAGCCTTAACAGACATATCTTTAACATATATTTGATGGAACCGGTCAAGTGTGTCCCGCATTAAGTCAGGTTTCAGAAACACCAGTATTACACAGTATGTGTTACAACTTATCAGATTCCTTGTCTAAAATATCAGTGTGTTATTGAAGGATTTGGGGGATGAGTCGGAACATCTCAGAACCCTACCCCAAAATCAATGGATTGGTTTAAGGGAAAATCTTAACCGGAAACCATGGTTTTTACCATCAAATATAGTGGTTTCCTGTAAATTTTCCCATCATCCAATTCTATGTTGGGCTGTTCCTGAACCAACTCGTGACGTCTTTAGACTCAATAGACCCATATTAGAGCCCATCTGCACGTGTTTTTGTGGCCCTTTGTGTTGAAATCCTTTGGTTAGTCCACTTTGGGCCAAGGTTTTCCCCCAATTTTCAGGAAAAAAACATCAAAAACAACCAAGACTTCGGAGATGTTGGGCCTTCGCACTATTAGTGTTTCCCAACAAAAAAGTCGTGTGACTTCCCCGGCCGAATCTTGGGGCGCTCCCCAGGGGCCCACACCTCTCAGGCTGGATGGTGAGTTTCGCACCTCCCAACAGCGAAGGCCGGGGGAAAAGATATAAACCAACTGGATCCAACTGGGGTGTTTCTGAATAAGTTGAAGAAGTGAGGGTTTAGGGCGTTAAGTAACCTCGGTTATAAAATGTTATAAACCTATACATGCATATATATATATATATATATATACGTCATATACATCATATCAGTATACATTGTATACATGTCATTAATACATGTATATAATATATTGTCATATACTATGGGATTCATGGGCTTAAAATGAACCAACTTAGCTATAGGCGTTGGTTGGTGAACCACCTTGGAGTCCTACCATAACTTTTCGTTTCGCGCAGACTTCTCCTCTCCGTCCAGGTCGAAGGGAAAAGCGAAAAATCCCAGGCTTCGATGGATGATTTGGGGGAAACCTATGGGATTCCAATGGATTTTCATGGAAAAAATTGATCATTCTGATGGAAAACCTATAAGGAATGACATTCTTATGGAATATTTTTGAATGGAAAACCTTTATGGGATAACCTATGAGACCTATTTGATGGAAAACCTGATGGACATTCTGATGAAATTCTCATTTCAAGTACGGTTTCTGGCCTCTGGATTTATCTGAAAATAGGTGTAATAGGGTACCCCCAAATCCACGGTGAATCATAATTGTCCCATTTTTTCATGGCTATGACTGGGGTGTGACATACCTCATTTTCAGACAGACCCAAAAAACATAGTTAGTTCACCCAATATATTCTCATTATTTCTCATGATATATCCATCATATCCCATTTCAACAGGCCATTTTTTTTGCTGCTTAAAGCCAACTGCAAAAAGGAACTGGACGCGCAGCAGCGCAGCGCGCCGTCGCCAAAGTGCGCTCCAAACTTGTCTTCCTTTGGTCGACGGTTAACTTACTGGTGCTAAAAGTAGGGGAGGAGGGAATGATCCCAGTCATCACTAGTAATGTCATCATCCCAGCAACCCCCAGCAACCCATCCATTCCCTGCGTAGTTTAGCACCAGTAAGTTAACTGGCTGGTGGTATACTGGTATAGTTACCCCTCTGAAAAATGATGGAGTGAGTAACAGTTGGGATGATGCCATTCCCAACTGAATGGAAAGTCATACAATTCCATGGTTCCAAACCACCAACCAGTTAATGTGAATTATAATTATAAAACAAGAAACATCACTGGGAGGGGGCACCATCCTGCACAAATCAATGAGTACTAATTACTACACATCATGACACTTCACACTTTCCTCCCAAGGCTGCCTCTGTGCATTGAGTCCATGATTGAAATCTTCATGGTTGCTCACGGTTGCTCCAGGTTTCACTGCAACTTAGAAAATAGGTTGAAAATTGACAGAATGCCATCTCCATATAGTTTCTCTTCATCTTTGATTCTCAGCCATTTCTATATTCTTCTGGATTGAAAGGGTGGGCCCTGAGGTCGACACCATCTCTGCTTCACTCAGTCCTGCCAGCTTCTGACCATTGATCTCCAAGATCACCTCGATGGAACATGCCGAGATATTGCTGGGATGTCTTGGGATATACAACAGGAACCAACCTAAAAGCAGGTTTATCCTCCGGTAAACTAACATAACTATGGAAAATCACCATTTATAATAGGTAAATCAACTATAAATGATCATGTTCAATAGCTATGTTAAATTACCAGAGGGTATTTGATGTTCTGATGGTTGAGGGAATGGGATTGAATTTGCATACTGATCATTGAATATCATCAATCCCCCAGCAAAACCTGGCAGTCTCGGTGATTCCTTCGCAATCTCTGTTTAATGGTGTGGGGGCTTTCCAAGTTGAAACTACCAGAAGCCAACTCCAGTTACCAGTGACCATTTTCCACCAAACTGATCAAAGGGCACCAAGTAACAAGCATGAGAAAAATGTGTTCCTTCCAGAAACCCTTTGGCAAATGATAATATTATATTATATTATATTACATTACATTATACTATATTATATATATAATATTATTATATATATCATTATTATATTATATATATATATCATACATATACATATATATATATATATTATTTTATGTTTATTATGCATATATTATAATATTATAGCTATTGACAACCACCAGTTTTGGCAAATCATCGAAGAAAACGGGCCATCCTTTTGCTACCGGGTTTCCACACATCGCCCACAGACAGGTCTTGCCCCGGAAAGTCCTGGCGACCGCGACCGCGACATCTTTGCTGCTCGTCCATCAATAAGGTGGGAAATACGGCGATGATCAGGATGTCTGAATCTGGATGGTTTGGATGAAAGAAGTTGGGAATCTTCCAGTGATTTTTGATTGGGATGATCATTGATAATTACCTTGATAATTACGGCAAATTCTATACTTCTTCATGAAAAATAAGATTCCCAGGGTCCCAGCTCACCATAGATTCCAGTCCCAAGTCCAGTGGAATATTTCCATATTCCCATGGATATCCTCCACGAAATCCACCAAATAGCCCTGCTCCGAAACCGTCAGCTCGATACCAGCACCATGCCTGTGGTGGAGTCAACTTGAGTCAACTCAAAGCCGGCGTTGGATGAAATCCGTAGAATTACTGGAGTGGAGTGAAATTGTATAATTATATAGATAATATAATATACTATAGACTATAGATGATAGATATAATATAATATAATATGTATAATATGTATAATATATATATATATAAACCCCATAGGATCCATGGTGCTGGTATATATGCTAACATAAAGGGGATATATTGATGGGATCCATGTTACCATATATAGCAGCACCATGGATCCTATGGGTATGTATAATATATAGATATAGATAATATAATATAATATACTACATACTCACAAACAACATCGCATCCCGTTAAAATCAGAGCAAAGCCGCACATGTTGGAATCGGTGCCCTGGAATGAACAGATAGGGATTCAGTGGAATATCATGATGATATCATGGGATATAAGTATAATCAATGTATAACCCATTGACATTCCATTAACAATAGGGATTTATAAAATTTTATAAACATAGATTATTACGTCTTGTTCTTGTTTGCTTTTCTTCACTTCTCCTCATCCAATAAAAAAATCTGCGGCCAAAGTGGCTCCGGGTGGACTCGCAAATGGGTCTGGCGCGTTGGAATGGGCCTGCGTCGTGGGGTCCCCATGATGCACCACCCATAGGGACAGGTATATAATAGACGGTGATTTAACCATATTCAACCATCAAACATGGGGAGTTAATTTGAATTAACCAAACATTGATAGGAATGAATAGTTAATTTATGATAGCAAAGTTTGTTTAGTTCGCTAGATTAACAACATGGTGTATGGATGTTTATGGTTAGATATATGGAACTAGTCAATGTTTTTTTTCCCAAACTATTGGGCCCATGACAGCTCGTGTGTTTATACATGTTTACAGCATACCCAGGTGTATGTATTGGGCTTGACAGAGATCCTATCGGAGGAATTATCTCTCATCCACAATAGTACGGTATCTTGGAAAAGAAATGTTGCTACGACTTTCCTGGATATAATTGCTAATCCTGACCAGCTTAGATTCAAAGATTAGCAATTTTTAGAAATTGGGCTATGTCATCAATATATCATCCGTGAGCTAGCAAACATCTCCACTTATGGCAAAAATCAACCTCTGAAACAGCCAATGGTTGTTGCTGGGAAAAAGGGATGAAACGTGCTATTTTTCAATGTGGCAGTGTGTCAAAACCTTGTACCCCTGGTGAACATCAAAATAGCTGGTAAATGGATGTTCATCCCCCTAAAAATGGTATTAATAGGTATTGATCCATACCCATGTATCTGACACCAGCCTCACAATTTAAGGGGCGACCGATTGAGGATTGGCGACCAGCAGTTTTTTCTGTCTGCGGTGTGACTTGGGGGAGCCCTTAAGGGTATTTCCGCAACATCTTTTCCGACATTTTTACACAGTACAAGTAGATCGAAAATGATGGACAACTTGGAAACATATAAAAAAATTATATGAACTGTTCACATCCCATTTGCACAACATATTCATCAATATTCATCAATATTCCTGTCCCGTAAAATGGTGGAGTATGATGGGGTCCGATCAACCCACCTTGGAAACCAAGGGCTCTTGAGGGCCCCCCAAACGATAGGTCCAGTAGTTTTAGAACGAACACAACTGGGATGGGGTTATATACATATATATATATATATCATTTATTGGATGGGTTTTTGACAACTAACATGACTGGATAGGTCCATTGGACATCTCGAACTATTTGGGGTTATCTATATATACTATTGTATATATAAATATATATAATTATGTATATATATATAATTATGTATATATATATATATATCCTTTATTGCTTGATGATGGTTGATGTATGATGGGAATGTTATTGGGATATCATGGGAATAAGAACAACACTTCATGGCATGATATATAGATTTAGATCCACAAATTCCGGTCATTTTTGTGGCCGAATCGGGATCCCATGAGGATATGAATGTCTTATAATGGGATATTATATATATAATAGTTATATATGACATTATATGACATGACCAACAATAATATATGATACTGTAGCTAAGTTTGACCAAAGCTGGGGTAGTGAGACACTGATGATAAACCACACACTTGGGCTTGCCGATGTGCAGAACATCGGAGAGCCCACCAAAACAAAAAAAAATGAAACTACTATAAGTCACAAGCACCTAGAAATGGTAGATTGTTGGTCTGTCCCAGTTTCAAAAACCCCCAACCCAATCTTGTGTATGTGTGTATATATATATTATATATAATATATATCTATCTATATATATATTTATGTATGTGTGTTGCCTTTCTTGCATCATCCTTGGTGCTTCTCCCAACTATTCCAGGCTTTCGATGAGTTGATACATCCTATAGTCATAACTTCCCCATTGGTTTTTGCCATATGAAGAGTTCACAACCAAGTGCAATTCCATGGAAAATCATATATGGTGGAAGATATAATATCCTATTTGATTGTGCATGATGAGTATCATGTTTGTTAAGACCAGGATTTCAAGATGGATTATAAATGGGTAAGATCCACAGTGCTTGCTTCACTGAACTTCTGGGATAAATGACAACTCTATAATTAATCCCCTATGTCTATCAGCTAGATTCGGCCTACACGACTCGCCCCATATCATCAACCAGCAGGGCTATCAGCTGTCCGACATGGCGTTTCCTAGACACATAACCACCTTGAGGTCGATGGAAAGTGGAACTCCAAGAGCATTCGGAGCCTTGGTCAGTGCCATAAGTGCCATAGGCTGACCAGGTTTTTTGGCTGCGATTCCCCTGTCAAAACCCTATACCCCTAGGTGATCATCAACATAGCTGGGATTTATGGTTGATAAAAAGCCACTGATAGCTTGGAACTTGTAGATCAGCCACTTGGCTTTGTCCTTTCTATCCTGGATGTCCACGGAGACCAATTGGCGGAGTCTATGTCCATGCTCCGTGCTCGGCTGGTACCATGGGGTATCCACATGTATCCACCATGGGTTTTTTTATGGATCAACATCGGGAAAAAGACCCAAATAAGTTGATCATGTTTAGTACTATTCTTGTGTTGTGTTCTTATTCTAGTTGAAGATGTGTTGGCTTCATATTGCTCCTACCATGTTATCATAATGTTATACATATAATTTTACTATTAATTATTATTATTAATTACTATTATCATTATTAATTATTATTATCATTATTATTATTATCATTACTATTACTATTATTATTATTCTTCTTATTATTATTATTTATATGTATATATATTATATATATAGTCTGATTATGTTATTTTGAAGGTATTGTGAAAGTATTGTTCTAGTGCACTGTCATTGTACTGTGATTATCCTTTGCTAAATTGACATGGACCCTGAAAATTTAGCCCATATTTAGTGAAAGCCAATTTTCCACTTCCAACCCATACCTGCCAGGGTCTATGGTAGTTTACTGGAGGGTACAGTATATCATCATTAAATATTCATGAACCATGCCAAGCTTGAACGCCCGAATCGCCAAAGCCATGCCGCTGGATTCACAGCAACATGTTTCTGACATCGCCAGATATCGGTGTAAGAAACCAGGAACTCTAGTATCCATAATCCCATTTTTTTTTGTCAAACGGCCTTGACCATTTTTTTTGGTCATTACGGCTTTGATCGTCTGGAGCCACTTGTGTGAGAGTCGCTACGGCTCTTTACGCCCTTTTTTCAACAAAATGTCGAAACAATTCGGTTTTGCTACGGGTAGGACTGCAATGTTCTTTTGATTTGACCATCTTTTTTCATTACGGGTAAAAAAAATATTATTACAAAAAACGATCATTACGGCTTTTTCCCACAATGACCAAACAACTTTGTGTTTTTGGCTTTCCAGGTATATACAGTGTATATATATATATGAAGTACCAAGTGTCCATCAGTCCATGAGTTTAATAAATAAGCAATGGATGAAGGGATCCCCACATCATCCCTTTTGATTAAAAGGATTTTCCATGAAATCAACCATCCCATACTATTGCGGTAGCCCCATGACTCTGGAACCCCCACACGGTACCCCAAAAAACGCATGGGTTATCATCAGTCTTCCCATTAAATGCCTATGTTATGGGTATAACGTAAACCCCAATTTCCAGACATCTCCACAGTCAGCTTCCGAAGATGTTTCACCGCCTCAAGCACTGGGAGGTTCGACCGACCGACCACGTCCTGAGCTCTCCTGCTCCTCCCGTGCCTTCTGCTTTGTGTCATGAGGAACGAAGCCTGCACCGCACAGAGTGTGAAATCAGGCCGCGAAACCAGAATGGCAAGGATATGAATGTTATAATATTGCAACCTCAGAATAGATGCCGAAAAGATGAAAACCTGCAATAAGATGCAATAACATGCAATAACATGCAATAAATATAAATATAAACATTATATTATCTACGCAGCATAACTTCCTGGAAGCACGTTTCTGTCTTTTTTGCTACATATCAACTTCAACATATATAATGTATCTACTAATTATCTATGATTATCCATCCACCTTGGCTGGGTTGGCTAGTAAGCGATCCACTTGTTTATCCCGCATGACATGTTTTTGCAGTGATCCATAACTGTGAGTCATTGTCAATCATGATTGTTCGTTACCAATCTATTAGTATTTTTCAATATCTATACCATGTCAAGCCTTTTTCCGACCAATCCAAACTCTCTGGCGACTTCACTATCTCCGCAAAAGTCAAATTCAAACTTCTGCCCACTTGTTTTTAGCATGAGATCTTGATGTGACCTGCAAGCGATGCCCTGTAAATTCCTGGACCATCATCTCAGATCCTTCCCGCAGCCTATCGGCTTGAGCTGGATGTAGTCCATTCCGACCAGCTCAGCTGACAATTTGAAGTTCCGTGCGAAGGTCCTAGCGCTGACTAAAGCTACAACTTCTGATGGTTTACACATGATTGATGTGTTCATACCATTTCCGGTGAAATTGGGGAATGTTTATAAAATATAAGATACATTATATATAATATACATACATACATACATATATAATATATATATATGTATGTATGATTGTCCATGTTTCAAGCTTATACCATCCACATGTTCATTTCAAATAGGATTGGGATGTGTTTGTTTTACCATTTCTGAGGTTCGGAATTTGGGATGGTTTGTGATTGGGTCTACCGTCTACCACATTACCTTCATGCGAACTCATGTGGACGTTGCTTAGGTGTTTTTTTGTTTACTAGCTTGACTATGCATGGTTTATGGATGTTTATGGTAGATATATCAAACCAGCTAATGGGGTATATAGACCAACAAACTTACCCAGGGGGCACCACCTTGTCCCAACTGCCAGTGTTTAGGTGCCAAGAACCTAAGGTACACCAAACATCATCCAAAATTGCCGTGGCATGCTGAGGCCATTTCCATGGTGTAGCTTTTCGTATGAAAGCCCGAAGCAATTTGCTCACTAAACAGCCGCAGCAGCTTTTCATTCCAGCGTACACAACTGGAGTTAAAACTGCAAAGCAAAAGTTGCAGCATGTCTACTGAAGATGCGCACCATCTTCATCCATCATCTTTGGGCCAGTATTTGGCCAGCTTCAAAGCACTATCCCATCTCCCATGTTCCATCGACTTAGCTCACCAGGTCACCAGTTGGGCTTGCGCACAGAGTAGGGCACGCTCTTTTCGGGTTTCTGCTGTTGTGCCCTCAAGGTCTCTAGCCTTGCTTTCGCTTGATCAAACCGATTGGCTTCCGCTGGCACAGACGGCGGGGGCGCTTGGCTGCGAAGGAGACGCTCGCGTTCTTCGGCCAAACCGAGTTTGGGAATGGTGGGCATCACCAGGGGCATGTCCTTGGATTGACCCAAAAAGGCCAACGGTGAAATCACTATAGATTCCCCATGCCTATACTGGCTTTGTTTATTGGGAACATGATAAACAGTTCCGTAAACGCAAAGCCGGGGTGTCTTTTTTCTCCTTATTTTCCTTCTTCTCCTTTTTCTTTTTCTCCTTCTTTTTCTTCTTGTCCTTCTTGTCCTTCTTCTTCTTCTTGTCCTCTGACGAAGAGTCCGATGAGCTGGACGACGATCTACTCCTTTTCTTTCCCATGGCTCGGGCTGGAAGCTGCGGTCTGCTCCAACCACTGACATATTTGAGGACAAACGGCCGCAACCATGACACAGCCGTCCAACGTGTCTTGTTCATATTGAGAGATGCTTCCGCTACCGGGTCCACTGGTTCGGCTCCCGCCTCAAATCCTCTTGAAAGGTCTTTGCTTTCTCCTGGGTGTCAGAAAATGGAAGGCTTTCTCTCCGATTGATGGTCATTTTATTTGAGATTGATGATAAACCATGGGACTTTAGGGTATACTATTGTTGGATAAACCCAGTTTCCATCTTTGAAGAAAAGGAATCAGTCCTGCTGAGCAATCTATCGACTGGTTTCTTGTTACTGGTTTTTTTTTAAGTGAAGGGCTACAGCGAATAGAATTCTCCAGGCTAGTTGAGTTTCATACAGACTGGGATCATTTGACTCCCAGCTTCATTGTCATTTTATGTCTTGCCACAACCCGTTCGCAAAATGTGTCGCAGACCTTCCCCCCCGTTGAATGTGTCACACTTTAAAGGACCCCAAACCTTGGAGCTCGTTGAATATGGAATCCCCTTAGTTTGCAACATTTTGCAATACCCAGATGCTCCATGGTGCTGGAATATTTACCAACATTTACCCCATAAATGACCCAAATGTAGGTAAATATACCGATATACCATACATGGAGCATATTATGGGATAATCCTAACGCAAAAATATGCGCTCCGTCTTGCCGTATACATGCTAAGGCTGCTAAGGCTGCTCCACTCTTATATATCTATGCAAGGACGGTCCTGAGCAAATCAACCCACACAAGCAATTATTGTTGGTCGGATGGCCATTTATGGGTATGGGTCAAAACCCTGGTACCCTTCTGTTCACACAAAATTCATGCCAAAATAGCTCGTAGTTATGCATGTTCTTCACAGTCTCCACACCAAATACGATAATTATTTAACAATTTCTGGGTTAGATTTGAACCATCCTCCTTCTCAATTGAGGCTTCCAAAACAAATATCTTAATGCACAAATTTATTATGACTTGTGGTAAGCCTCAATATATTGGGTAGCATACTCCCTACATCACCCAACAAGGCTTTTCAACGCTACTAAACTAGCCTGATCTTGTTTGCATATCCCCTTGTATGCGCACTAGTATCCCATGAAATTCACGAAATCACAATTTTGACTGGCTAAATCCAACTACTGCAACTTGACAGACTTGACCATCTTGAGGCTTCCAAAAAAAATGCGGCCTTTTAGGGGATCTCTCAGACACGTCACGGGATCTCTCTGCAGCTCAGCCGAACTTTTGGGAAGTTTGAACACCTCGGAAAAATTCGACTGCACCACTCGGAGAAAGCCATCAGACAAAAAAAACACATGGATCAAATCACTTGGTGGTCTATTGAGGTTCTTGATCCCTGATAAAGTTTTAATCTTCAGTGGTTTGGATGATGTAACAGGATTGTTCGGTGGAAAGTCTATCTAATCCCAACATACACCGAAAATCCAAGCGTACTACTACAAGCCATGCAAACAGGTATGCCACATTTCCCTATCCCATTGGAGGAAAAGAACTCTCCCTCTACGAATTATAATATGTAATATATGTAGATATATATATACATATATATATGTTTCCTTGTCCTACTAAAAAAAAAACACCTTGTCAACTTCGGCAGGAAAAACTGCAAGGGTCTTGAGTTTGAAGGTCCCCTTCACATCCGCTTAAGTCTAAGTCATTGGACATCTCATCACCTTTTTGTTATCTTTTACCCTCTGGTAATTTAAGAATATTTAACATAGCTGTTGAAAATTGCGATTTTCCATAGTTATGTTAATTTACCGGAGGGTATTTGGGGGCATTGCATGGTATGCCCCCATCGACAAAACATCTCGTCGTAGCAGCTCTGGGCTCCTGCACATCAGGATCCACACGGGTGCCTGGCAAAATCGCCAGCTCGAAAGGATCCCCATCACAGGTGATGTGCCAAAAAAAATTGTTTTCTTTGAAGATAGAGTACCTCTAAACACATTTGTGAATTATATTGAATTATCATGTTCACTTTTAGATGATTAAATGGCAACTTTATCTGTATAATCATGTATAATCCATGTTCAGACAGATCCAGAAGGTACACCCATATTGCAACTTCAAAGGTAAACAAATGCGTTCCATCCTTTGCAATTTGTGGGATTTATAATGATATATATATATATAATTTTCAGACAGACAAGCATTTACAAAATCGATGGCTGACATTTTTAATGTGGATCGCAGCAAAATTCAACAGCCGCAGAATTGAGAAGTTCATATTATCACAATCTTGATAAGTACTTTAAGTACTACAAATACCACAAGTTCATCGGCAGAAAAACAGTTTTAATTAGATTTCAATTGTAGCCAATTGAAATCCTTACTTAAGTGAGGATTTGTTTTTTCCTGGGAAGAAAATATTTGACCTTCCACTTTAAAGAGAGTACAGCTATTGTTAGGGGGGGGCCTCACACTAATCAGGAACCAACATTATTCATCAATGGGTGATGTTCCATTACCGGAGGGTATGCAAAGCATTTGACCCCTCTCCATGTCCAAAGTCTGAGAACCGCACCATTTTTATCTCCCTTCCCTGGCGCAGCTGCCGCCTTTCCTTGCCCTGCAGAAAAGGGTGCAAGGCTCGTGTGACAGAAGCAAGTTTTTCTCCACCAACCTCCGACTTTTGTCAACTCTATTTCATAATGTACATTGATAATATGATAATATTGACAATAATTATTGATAATTACAGATATACAGAGAGAGAGAGGGAGAGAGAGAGATTTTAAACAAGTCAAATGTCAATCACCATCAATCACCATCGTTTTTCGAGTCCATCCCCCCATGTTTCGTGAAAAAACCCGCCATGCCATGCCTTTGCCGGTATAGAGGCCGCCTTTGCCGCCTGACATTAGGCTTACATGATCCATGGTGGAAAATTAGTTATACCATGTTATACCTAGCTTGCGGTCATGTGTGGGGTAAATGCGAGTAAAAATAGTAAAATAAACCTCATATTATCTCATGGAGCCTATAGATCCTATAGCATTTTGGGATTCCCAGCTCCGTTTGCCAGGCATCAACCCACAAGTCCCTGCCTGCAACTGTGGTCCTCAGGAAATGCCGACTGGTCTCAAAATGTCTCAAAGATCCAACTGCCAACTGCCCTTTACATCCCTAAACCTTACATGCGTAGATACCAAACTCATAGGATTGTGCTTTCACATCTTTCACACCCAAACGTTGCGGTGCAGCGACATCTTTGTGTCGAGTCAACCCAATGGAATTCCTGGAATCTTCACAGCAAAATAGCTGGGATTTATGGATGTTCATCCCCAAATATCTCAATTTTTTGGGAATAAGAAAACACTTAACATCAATAAGATTATTGAAAAGTATAGAATTGTTCTTTCCATTTTTTCCCTATCTTTTTGAGGCTTACTATAATGCTTACAAAAAATGCTCATCAACCAGCCCCTTCCGTTCCACTTCTGCCGAGCTGCGATCTTCGTTCCTGTCCCAGCGTCATTATGGGCGTCTTTTTTGAATCGTTTTCGAATGATGGGATCATCATGATTTCTTCATGGTTAATGACGGTTAATGATGTGAATGGTTGTGGACAAGCCAATATAGCTATAGATACTATAGACTACCATTTGGGGATGGGGGCTATTTCGATCCCATGTATAGTAGAAAAAAACAATTTAAGTAGGGAAAAAGGAAGGTAACCCATGTTTGTTTTTTGAGTTTTCCCGAGAAATGTTCAGACAAACATACCCATCTGATCTTTTTGAACATGTGGTCCATACTGAAAGAGGAGAACAGCACATCGATTAATGGAAATGATGTAGATATATAATTTATAATAATAATATGATAGGATTTTCTTCAGGTATTCTACCAACAAACTATGTCTATCTCGTTGAATTCCAAAATGATAAGACTTCACCGCACCTCCGCCGCACTTGCTGTGGCAGCCCGTGGCAGTGCTGACCTAAGGTCGCTCAAAAGGAGATAGAACTGTTGGGTACAGCACTTATATTGTTCAGAGCAAATTCATGGAAAAGTGGATTCTGTAAAATGATGAATAAATGTTCAGGTGTTTGCAAATTAGTTGCACAATATTGTATGTTTCTAGTATGTTTCTAGTGAAGTCTCGTTTTCATATGTTTCAATGGCAATCACAACCCAGGAGCACCAACAAAGGGGTCCCACTTACAACCAGATTCGCACATTCGGCTTTAAACAATGGGGACAAAAAATCAAACCACTGACCTAAATGATGGGGAAGATGGAGAACATATTAGGAAAAACATGGAAAAACCAACAGTCAAAACCGACAAACATGGGAGGAGGATGCTCCCAAGTCTTCGTGGGTCTTGCGATTGAGTGGGACCTCTGATTATGCATCTTATCCAATGCCTGTCAATCCGTCAATCCGTAATTAATACACAATTGGGATAAGTGGATGATTGTCAGCCATTTGAATGGGACCAATGGGATATTTTTCTATTGTTTAGAGACTCCCCATGATGAGACCTGTGGGGATGGTTGCTTTCCAGGGGTCCCCAAGGTCCCATAATTAGGGTGGGGAATGGGATTCACCTATCGCCAAGGACGGTCTTGATGGATTCCTAGTAAATAATAAATATATGTAAATGTAAATATCATCAATCTATTTTTCTGGATTTTTCTTCCGGGGGTATCTTGGGGGATCTTGTTACATATGGGTACACATGGGTACACGCAAATCATCCCCGCCAATCCAGCGAGGTCAGCTGCCTTCCGATCTTAGACCCCGGCTGCGTCTTGACGGGAATCGCTGGTGCTTCCCCTCGCGCACGTGCAGCAGCGTCTTTTAGGGCTTGGTCACACCTGGTCCGACTGGATGAACATGGGGGATATAATTTGAGATAAATTGAGATAAATTGAGATAAATTGAGATAAATTGAGATAAAACCATATAAAACCAACATAAACCAACCATGTTATATCGGATAGTAAAGGGATGTAAACGGATATAAAATGGGGATATGGGGACGTTGGACCAACTTGACACGACTTGGGTCCACAAAAATAAGATGAACATGTACCCCCATGTTATGGCAATGTCAATATGGGGAACATGTTTTTTTTGCAAAGTATAGGATATCATATAAATTTCTATATTGTACACCCGACCCAACATGTTCAGAAACACCCATATATCAGATCGCCCATATCAACTTGAAGAGAAATTGGGACTCCGTTCATGCATGGCAAGAATAATGATCAACATTAATCAACATTAATCAACATTAATCAACATTAATCAACATTAATCAACATTAATTAACATTAATCAACATTCATCAACATTAATCAACATTAATCAACATTAATCAACATTAATCAACATTAATCAACATTAATCAACATTAATCAACATTAATCAACATTAATCAACATTAATCAACATTAATCAACATTAATCAACATTAATGAACATTAATGAACATTAATCAACATTAATCAACATTAATCAACATTAATCAACATTAATCAACATTAATCAACATTAATCAACATTAATCAACATTAATCAACATTAATCAACATTAATCAACATTGATCAACATTCATCAACATTCATCAACATTCATCAACATTCATCAACATTAATCAACATTAATCACCATTAATCAACATTAATCAACATTAATCAACATTAATCAACATTAATCAACATTCATCAACATTCATCAACATTAATCAACATTAATCAACATTAATCAACATTCATCAACATTCATCAACATTCATCAACATTCATCAACATTAATCAACATTAATCAACATTAATCAACATTCATGAGCATTAATCAACATTAATCAACATTAATCAACATTAATCAACATTAATCAACATTCATCAACATTCATCAACATTCATCAACATTCTTCAACATTCATCAACATTCATCAACATTAATCAACATTAATCAACATTAATCAACATTAATCAACATTAATCAACATTAATCAACATTAATCAACATTAATCAAC